TCCTATTATCTTTATAAAAGCACTGTTAAGTTATGCGAGCTCAGGAACTGCCAACCATATTGAGCACATACTGGGATTTTTTATTTTTTATTTAGAAAGTATAGTGGCTGCCTGTCACAAAATGGCTGCCACAGAGTTTGGCGTAACACAAAATGGCCGCCACATTTAGAAGAGCAGAAAGAGAGACCGGGCCACAAAGTGGTGTGGGCATGACCCCGGAACAGCCCCCTCTCCATCAGTGGGAGAAATCACCATTAGCAACTGACGGAGGGATACTTTTCCCACCTCCTTTCTGTTCAGAACAGAAGGAAGGGTTGGTGCCCGATCCTGGCATCCAGTGAAATAAGGGAATATTTGCTGCAGGAGAAGACCAAGCTACTGCTTGGCCAAGCCAAGCCGAGACACAGGCAGCAAGCTGTCTATTGCACACTGTGAATTTTGAGGAGGTATTTTACTGAGACATTTTGCGGGTGTCGTGAAAGGTACTGGAGACACACTGGCAGTAGAGAGAAATAGTAGCTGCCCCGAAGTCACCAACCTGTGTGTCTTTCCAGTCCTAGCCCTACACTCTCAGCTACCACACAGATATTCCAGAGCTACAGAATTACCTTGCCAAAACTGCAGAAAAACCAAGCCTATAATTCCAGCCATTCTAAATGACTATCTCCAGAAAGAGGAAAACTTGACAACTCATCACCGCTGGATCTCTTATGCCATCTGCTGGGCATTTCAATGGAAGCGTTGAAGGATTTCTAAGTGGAAATGAACCACACACAACATTCATCTCTGCAATTTGCTTTTCACATTTCCGTCAGCAAATCAAGCCCCCTTCTTTAGTTGTGAAGCGGCGCTTGGTACCGTTCAAGCTGCAATTACGCTTTTTAAATATTGCTGGGTATACTGCTTTATCTCTCTTATATATTGGCATATGAATTAAAATTTATGTTCCTTAATCTGTTTGTTCTCAGCCTTTCAATTAAAGCTGTCCAAGATGGATAATGAAAATTTTAATAATGAAAATATGATACAGTAAGAACAATGGCCTATGTAGTTCAGCCAGATGCCTATGGGAAGTCCAAAAGGAATTTTTCCATTTGTGATTCCTTGAAACTGGTTTTCAGAGCCACCCTCCCTCTGACGCTGAGGGGGGAGCACAGCCATAGCAGTTAGGAGGAATTTATAGCTTTGTTCGCCACAAATTTGTCCAATCCCCATTTAAACCTGTCCAAGTTAGTAACTGCCAAATTCTGTAGGTTAACTACAATACAGCCTGAATCTAAACCCCACAAGAAAAGCACAATAACAAGCAAAGCAGCTCAATAATACAGCAGTACACAACACCAATAACAAACCAACATTGGCAGTATTAGCAGAAACCGTTTCCAACACATCAGTTATTAAAAGCTCGGGGGGGGGGGTGCGTGTTTCCGCTTGGTAGCCGAAGGCCAAAGTACAGGTAGCAGTAACAACATTTTAACCAAGGTCTGGGAACTTTTGCTCCACATCTGGACAGCGGTTTGTGGGGAGAAGGGCTAGAAACTTTCCACTCCTGCAATTTTTTTTGTTTTGCCAAAAATCTTGTCAAAAGAATTTTGAGGGGTTGTTGTTGTTGTTTACAATCAAGTGGCATATAAATGTTATGAAATAAATATGAGATTTTAAAAAAATCTCCTAAACTGTGAGGGTGCTTTTTTTCTTTTTGCTATAAACACGCTTGGGGGCAGTTTTCAGCAGCGGAAATGGTTAAATGATTCTCACCATGATATAGCTCAAACCCCTGACTGCTAGTTTCCTAAGGCTGCATCTGCACCTTACACTTAAAGTGCCCTTACTTTAAGAGTCATGTCTTCCCCCAAAGAATCCTGTGAAATGTAGTTTATGAGAGTTGTTAGGAGACCCCTCACAGAACTACATTTCCGAGCACTCCTAGATCAGGTGTTTGCTCCTTCAGCGGAGTGCAACCCTGCCCAGGGCAGGCAATTGACTAATTTTCTGAACACAAGGACCACTCATCCACAACGCCTCCATCTTCCCAGGACTCAAGCTGAGCTTATTTTCCCCTCATTCATCCTGTTGCAAGGCAAATCTGCTGTCTCACTTGCAAGCACTGCGGCACAGCATGCATGGAGAAATAGAGCTGAGCACCACCAGCATATTGTTGACAACTTCCCCCAAACACCTGATGACTGCTTCTAGCAGCTTCATATAGATATTACATAGCAGTGGGGATGAAACAGTGCCCCAGTGGTGTAGCATGGGAGTAGGCACAGAGGTGCTTTGTTAGGGGGAGAAAAATTTAAACACCTGGTGCTGCTTCAATACAGCTGCATGTTTCCATCACTGGGGTCCATGGAAAACAGCTTCTCCATGCGAACCAGGAAGTGACCTCTTCAGACAACTGAATGACTATTTTTTTCTTATCTCTGCAGCTGCAATCTCCTGACGCTGTTAGGAAGTTGAATAAGCATGCATACTCTGTATGTTTCCCTCCCTCCCCTTCTGTGTGGCCCCGGGCGCTAGAAACCCACGCTACACCACTGCAGTGCTCCACACAACCTCATAACTCAACTGCCAGGGGACCAAAAGCACTCTCCCAGGGCTACTCTCTGGACTTTGTCCAGCAGGTGGGGCTGGAGCCACTGTAACACAATGGGCTCAATTCTCATTCCACAGAGTTGGTCCAGGAGGGTAAAATGGTCAGTGGTATTGAGAGCCGCAGAAAGACTGAGATGTATAAGAGCAAGGCCAAATTCCCTTTGCCCTGTTCTCTGCAAAGGTTCTGTTTGAAAGGTTCAGTTGCCACCTTGATCCAAAATGGGCCCCCGCTGTGTCCAAAGACAGACAAAAAAACCTGCCCCTTGATTTTAGGAACCATAAAGCAAAATTTGATGACGATACAAGCAAGCAGATAGACATAATAGCACAGTCCACAGCCTGAAAAGCACTAGGTGCCAGAGAAATGCTCTTTATTCTAGGATATCACAGAACTGACTTAAGAAAGGCAGCTATGTACACCAATTGGTCCTAGGCACATTGTGTTGTGCTGACGTTGTAGGCAGAGGAGCTGTCATGTAGGCACTGGAGTCACTGGATTGAGGCATCACCATGCTATTAGTTATTGCTTGAATTTTTTTGTATTACTCAAACTTTTAAAAAGAGCAGTGGATAATGTATGCCTTGGTGACATCACCCTCTTTAAATCTCTCTCTATGCATTCAAAGGTTTTCACTAAAATTATTGTTCTGAATGAGGAAGCAGTGCCATCTAGTGGCCCAGTGTACAACTTACACTACAAATTAGGGCTATTATTCAAGTGATTGAGGGTTTGTTTGCACTTCCACCTTTCCCCCAGTGATTATGCACATGCTGACCCACACGTTTCCTGCACTGTGCCAGATCATTAGTCTGAGTTGTGATCCTTCCCTAGATGTTCTTATCTGAGCTTCTTGGAGTTCAATCACATTTAATAGTTTTATGCTCGCTATGTCTCAGCTCGGTAAGTCAGAAATCTAATGGCAACATCTATTTTTGCTCCTCGAACGCAGATGTAACTAATAAACTCCTGAGCTTGCCTTTCAGCCAATTCTAAACATGCCAACGAATAATAATATATATATTTCTAAGCAAAGTTCTTCCTATTTATTAAATTGTTTCCATTCTCCCCACACCTGCCCCGAACTAGTTTGCACTTCTTCCAAATACGGAAGAAATCTGCTTTCTAATAATCACACTGCTAATATTAAAGGCATGTACACACTGCGTGACAATGTGCATTTACTGCTAGATGCAACCTTTTCGGGGTGCTGTACATAAGAAATCATTCTGATGTTGTTCCTCTTCCTCACTATTTGCCAATCTAAAGTGGATGCTGTTTCATGCTGAGAATACACTTCTCAAGTGCTTGCTATATACATGTGTAGACAGGAAGTGCTTTCTTAGGTCACCTCCATTGGGGAAGACCTACAGACATTGCAGGGCTCTGCCATTCCCAGTCACCATGCTTTTATGCTGACAGCCAGTGGGGTTAGACAGCCAGACTAGGACTTGGGAGACCAGGGTTCAAATCCCACTCAGCCAGGAAGCTTGCTGGGTGACCTTGGGCTGCCTGTCAGCCTAGCTTACCTCACAAGGACATTGTGGAAATGCATTAAGGACCCCTGACCATTAGGTCCAGTTGTGACCGACTCTGGGGTTGCGGCGCTCATCTCACTTTATTGGCCGAGGGAGCCGGCGTACAGCTTCATGTGGCCAGCATGACTAAGCCGCTTCTGGCAAACCAGAGCAGCGCACAGAAAAGCCGTTTACCTTCCCGCCTATTTTCCTACTTGCACTTTGACGTGCTTTCAAACTGCTAGGTTGGCAGGAGCAGGGACTGAGCAATGGGAGCTCACTCCGTCGCGGGGATTCGAACCGCCAACCTTCTGATCGGCAAGTCCTAGGCTCTGTGGTTTAACCCACAGCGCCACCCGCGTCCCTTGTGGGAATGCATTATATTCCTCTTTATTCCCAGTAGTAGTTTTTATGTAATGAGGAAATCAACAGTGAAAACTAAACAAACTGCTGTGTGAACGCAGCCAAATAATTAATCTAAAACACGGTGTAGCATAGTCTGTACCCAAAAGCACTTCCATTGATCAGTGCCCCTCCAGACATTTTTACTGAGCATTCACCATGATTTGTGCCCCTGATTGTACTGGAAGGATTATATATTTTCTTTTTCCCCCCGATAGCATGTGCACTTGCAAAAGTTTTGGGGCAGTATACTACATTGTTTATAACAGGTGCATCTCATGGTTTCCTGCTAAAATTGAGCAACTTTATTTCTAACACAAAATTTCCAGGAAGGGGTGTGTGTGTTTTGTTCTGCCTTTTTTGTGCTGCAGTGAAGGAGTGACCCCCCCCCCGAAGCAGATGTCAATAACATGGCCATATTTGGGAAGCATTGCAGGATAACTAATTAAAAAGGAATGGTGCGTGTGATGTTTTGCAGACCCTGCTGATGTTACTGTAGGAAGCACTCACTGGGCAGGGACAGAAGCTGCATGCAGCTGCTCCATTTTTAAGGACTGCTTCACCCACTTTGGCCAGGCCGTCTCCAGAGAAGGAGAAGAACAGCATGTTTGACAGGTAAAGACTTGACATCCCACTGAGCTGAGAGGAAGATGATTGATTACTTGTGGTCATCATGGGGGATCTCCTATCTCCCTTCCAAACAGTTCAATATTTAATCTGTGGATTTGTAAGTTTGCCTCACTCGGGGGAAACAGAGGGGCAGGAAGGCAAGGATTTTTTTACACTGGGAACTCAAACTTTATCATTGCCCTCCTGACACACCACAAGGAAAAGGGTGGTTCAGCTCTGGATTTGTGCCTCCTTACCTGCTTGATCTAAATAGGCAGGGAAATTCAGAAGTGCAGGTGATGTTGCGCTGTCAGGGGCTGGCTGGGCACAGAGGAATGGAGGGAGGAACTAGCTGGGGAACTGTGGCGATCACACAGGGTCCTCGGGTGTTTAACGGTCTATTGATCCCTGTGCCACCACTGTGCTCGCTTCCCCACTGCCACCAACCAGTTACTCTCTGGTAAAACACTGAGTCCAGTCAGTTGTTAAAAGTGAACCAAGAAAATAACAAACCCAAGTTGATTTTACAAACATTAACAAGTTTATGGTTTCTCAGATAATATTCCTGTCAGTATCTTAACTTTAGTTTCTTTACCGGCCTATACCTTCCTAATACCTTCTGACTGATTATCTCAACTGTTTGACTGACTCCTCTTAACAAATTTTCTCACTCTCTCACATCAGACTAGCCCAACCCACAGACTTATCTTCTCTGTCTCTTCTAACTCCAGACTGTCTTCTCAACAACTCTAACTCTAACTCCCTAAAAAACCTCTGTGCTTAAACCCTATACAGTGGTACCTCAGGTTAAGTACTTAATTCGTTCTGGAGGTCCGTTCTTAACCTGAAACTGTTCTTAACCTGAAGCACCACTTTAGCTAATGGGGCCTCCTGCTGTCGCCGCACCGCTGCTCCACGATTTCTGTTCTCATCCTGAAGCAAAGTTCTTAACCCGAGGTACTATTTCTGGGTTAGCAGAGTCTGTAACCTGAAACGTATGTAACCTGAAGCGTATGTGTCAGGGAACTGACATCGGAGCTAGAGGTGGAGGGAAGGCTCTCCAATGATGCTGGAGAAGGGCCCAGCAGGGAGAGAGGCAGCTCAGCAGATGGGGAAGCAATTCAGTGCAACACCAGGAGTAAGGAGGGGCAGATGGGGGAATCGGCGAGAGGGCTCCCAGACTCTTCACCGGACACCAGCGGGGAGAGCACTGGTCCTCCGCTACCCACGCCCTCCCTGTGCAGAAGACTTCCGGGCAGAGAAAGTAGGAGGAGACTGGGTGTCAAACAACTTTTATGTTGGAAAAGGTTTAAGAAACGCCCACTGAAGGATTCTGCTAGCGACTGAGGCAGCCACGAATTGAAGGGCTGTCCAGACAGAAAGGTTTAACAAGGCAACATAGCCAGGAGAGGCGGCAACTTACGCACGAGCAACCCCATACCATTATAGTATGTAACCCGAGGTACCACTGTACACAGTTAACTCTGCCCCCTGGGTTCCCATTACAGTGGTGCCTCGCAAGACGAAATTAATTCGTTCCGCGAGTTTTTTCGTCTAGCGAATTTTTCGTCTTGCGAAGCACGAAATCCCATAGGAATGCATTGAAATTCAATTAATGCGTTCCTATGGTCAAAAAAAGTCCAAACAAAGCCAAATTTGGTACAACAAGAGTTTATTAAGTGCTCTTTAAAGTCACACATACTGTAAAGAGCATTTCAAAAATTGAAGGAACAATAAATTCAAAAATTGAAGGAACAATAAAAATCAGAAAAATTCAGAAAAAAACCACACAAGCTTCCAGATTCTTGCAAACCCCTCCTCAACTGTTCCCCCAGCCACCCACCACACAGAAATTCAAACCCAGAATTTTTTTAAAAAAACAGCAGAGCGGCCCAATGGTCACAAAAAATCATAAAAATGCAGAAAAAAAACAAGCTTTCAGATTCTTGCAAACCCCTCCCCAACACCAAGTCCTTGAATTCCAAACACCCCAACCCAAAATCCAAAAACCCCAAAAAAAGTTTTAAAAGTTTAACTTACCAAATGGCTGCAAAAGAAGTTTTGGAAAAGCTTCAAAAATCGCCAGAGTCTTCAAAAACCTCAAAAAAGGCTACCACACTGCGTTCTATGAGTTGCTCCTCGAAGTCAAGTCGCAACTGCACCTCTTCAAGCAATGCACCTTGGGTTTTAACGGTTTACGAAAAAGGAAACAAACTTGCAAGACGTTTTCGTCTTGCGAAGCAGCTCAAAAACCGCAAAACCCTTTCGTCTAGCGGGTTTTTCGTCTTGTGAGGCATTCGTCTTGCGGGGCACCACTGTAGGTAGTCATTTTACAATTGCTTAACCCTTTCCCTATGAACCCAGTATGATGTCACACACATATGAGGGCAAACGCCACAGGAACATCCCAAGGGAAGAAGGCTCAGAGCCCAGGGAGTGGTGGTGGGATGACGATGCGTGGTCAGAGGGAGAAGACTGCGGGGAGAAGGTTTCGGAAGCTGGACCTGAGGAGGAGAAAGTGGGCAAACAGTTCCATCTACTGGACTGCAGTAGGCAGCTAGGGGCTGGCTGAGGCCAGACTGAGCTTGGTGGGGCAGAGCCCCATTGCCCTAATGGACCAGCCTCCGTTGGGTGTTGGAGACTGTGGAAGTGCATGGGGGACGTGCGATGTTGGCCTCACCAGCTGTCAAGCCAGAGGTACCAGACCTCCTACTCAGAATTATAGAACTGTCAAGTTGGAAGGGATCTAGGCCAACTCCCTGCAATGCAGGAATCTCAACTAAAGCATCCGTGACAAATGGCTCTGGGGTGGGGGTGAGACGCACAGGAGGTTTGCGTTTTCCTTCTTCCAGCATGTAAGGGCAACAAATCCTGACACCTACTATTATTTTATGTTTTTGTTTATTTTATTTTATTTTTAAAACAAACAAAAAAATTACAAACCTCAAATTCAAAATCCATATTCATTTCTAACACAAGCCTATTACATAGATTACCTAAATTAAAATATATCTAATTGCTCTAGGCTTCCCTTTGCTATATGTAAATACAACACAATTAACAAATGATATTATAAATGATATTATAGGTTCCCATATACCCCCCACTCCCCTTCCCCCATGTGTGATCTCAATATTTTACTTCTTCCATCTTGTTGTGTTGTTATAATTTAATAATTACTCAATTGATTCTGTTATTATTTTCTTGCTTACTCCTGCACATTTTACACATTCTCTATTAATATTTAAATTCTGGAACCGTGTTTTTTCATGTATTCCTTCACTCCATCCCACTCTCTAATTATTCTCTGATTTGAGTGGCCTCTAATAATTGCCGTCAATTTTGCCATTTCTACAAACTCACAGAGTTTGTTTTGCCGTTCTAATAGTGATGGGATTTTCTCTCCCTTCCAGTTTTTTTGCAATCAACATTCTGGCGGCTGCTGTTGCGTAAAGGAATACATTTTTCTTGTCTTTGCGGATGTTATTGGATATTAGGCCTATTTTGTTTATTAGATTTCCTTCTGACCCTTTACTTTAAGGTTTCAGGGCAGGTTACAAAAATAAAATATACACTGGTAAAGCAAATAAAAACAGTCCCAGCCATAAAACGAGAGAAGTGTAAAAACAATTAAAATCAGTTCCATATATACATAGCTCATTTGGTAGAGCACAGGACTCTAAATCTCATGATCATGGGTTTGAGCAGGGGTTTGGACTACTATAGGGGGTTGGACTACTGTAGATGAGCCTTGGAATCCTTTCCAACTAATCTATGATTCTATGAAAACAATTTAAAACAGTCCCAGTACAGATGCAGTCTGGGATTGAAATTTCCACTTGAAAAGCTGGCTGAAAGAGGAAGGACAACGGAGACAGCATTGGTCTAATATGCAATGAGAGGGAGTCGAAAGAGTAGGCGCTGCCACATTAAAGGCCTGATTCCTATATCCTGCTGTATGGACCACCTGATAAGAAGGTTCCTGATTTCTGCAGAAGGCCCTTTCTGGCAGGGCTACGTGATTGACTGGGTATGTAATGCAGGCTTGGTATAACACTGGCTTAGTATAATATACTAAGACAGGGATGTCATACCGGTGGCTCTCCAGGCCAGCTGTAGCTGACAAAAGTTGGAATCCAACAATATCTGGAGGGCCACAGGTCCCCCATCCCTTTGTGAACTGCAGCCAACATTCTTCTGCCGAAAGAGAAAATGTCAGGGGATTGCAGGAAGGTATGTAACATTGCTTGAGGCTGTCTAACCCTTTTTTATGAATCATTCTTCTTCTGACCTGCTGGAAAGTGTGGCACACAGATTATTTTGTAAACCTATGAATGCAGGATATCTATCATCTATCTATCTGTCTATCTATCATCTATCTATCTGTCTATCTATCATCTATCTATCTATCATCTATCTATCTATATCTATCTATCTATCATCTATCTATCTATCTATCTATCTATCTATCTATCTATCTATCTATCATCTATCTATCTAACATATATAGCAAACACTCTATCCACACTCAATAAAAATATAAAGGCAGTGATCCTATGCACACTTTCTTGGGCAAAAGCTCCATCCAATTCAGTGCAATTTACTTCTTAGGAAAGATGGTGATATATAACGAATGCACATCTTTATGAAATCTAAGGAAATGCACTGTTGCCTTAAGTCCACTTGGTGGCACCAAAGGATTTTGTTGAACATCTTCATTCACCCACTTCGAAATGTTTACTGGTCACGGTATGTTTTCCTTTGGCATATAAAAACACGATTATGGCAAAACACACTGTATTATTATTTTTTCTGACGCAAGGAACAAGTGATAGGGGCGACACACACGTCTTGCCAAACATATTAATCACAGCATGATCCAGATAATACTGGCAAAAACAATGCAATGAACTTGTGTCAAGGGAATGTCTTCACCCACATTAATGCTTAATGTGTATGGTTTTACTAAATAAGGATGGAAACAACAACCGCGTTTATATCCATGTACCCTGAAGGAATTACAGATAACCTAATTTATTTATCTCATTATTACCAAGGTGATGCTTACTATCTTGGGAAGAATGAAGTCCTATTTTAGGATATTCATGAACCACTTAGCTTACATTATTCCTAACACACACACACACACACACACACACACACGGCGTAATGTAAGCTGAGTGGTTAATATACATAACAACCTGCCATTGCACACAATCACCAGGTTTCACTGAAAACGTGCATGTAATGTGTCCATGAAGATGAACTTGTGCACATTTCCTGGTCCATACACATAATCTCCAACAAGCCTTGGGAGTCATGCAAATCTCAATTGCATTTTGTACATTCCCCAGACCCCCAAAATATGTTTTCTGGAGCAGACAAGCTTAATTCCCTCTAGCGTTTTCAAAAGGAAAGGAAAAGGAAAAGGGAAAAAATGGGAGAGAAAAATGCAAACACTTTGTTCCTGTCCCACACAAATCTTCATGGTTTAGGAGGTGGTTTCGCCTTCCCAGGCAGGCAGGTTTGGTCTGTCTATTATATGTGTACACCTTTATGAATCCTGCATATGTATAATAAATTGGATAACCAAGCCAAACCAAGCTGTGGAACCTGATTGTGTCCTCAGGATTCCCCAGTAAACAAAGCAAACAATAGACTTGCTCATCGTCCTAAAAACAGATGGTTGAATATTTAATGGATAGTTGTTAACATCCTTGAAGTCTTTTGATGGAAGGCAGAAATAAGTTGCTTTAAAACAATGGAGAAAATAATAATGATGCCATAGGGAAATACCTGAAATTTCAGAGTTCATGAATCCATCACAGCTAATTCCTACCTGACGGATCTTGTGCCTCTCAGTGACCTTTTTATTGAGCATTCATCCTGATTTGTTTGCTCAAAGGTTATATGACTTCCCATCAACGGATTATAATTCCATGCTTCCTAGTACATTTCTCCATCACTTCCCTTACCACAAAAAGTCTGATTTACTGGCACGTGATTGAATCTCTTCTGCAAAATAGTGTAAGTTTGAAAGGGGAAAAGGATTATTTGTGGCAGGGAAAAAGGATTATTTTCCGATTAGGAGAAGGAAAGAGACAGAGAGAGCACCGAGTTAAGTCTTTAAATTAGGCCATGTGGCTTTTAGAAATAGGCAGGTCAAATGGTGCCATAAACCACATACAAGGAGCAGTTTCACAAAGAATTATCAAGAGAAATTGGCAAAGATTCGCAAGGTGGTAATTAAATTTCCACCAGAGAGTGACTTGCAGATCATTAAACTCTGTATAGCTATCAAGACTGCTGAAAGCTTTTCCAAGTGACAGGTAAGGAAGGGGCTTCTCAGCAGGGACCAAAAGAAAGAAGGATCATGTTCCAGAAAAAATACAGGTCAAGGGAGGAAAGGGGAAAACAACAAGTGCTCGTGGTTTCAAGGAAAGAAGCTGTCTTCTCAGGACGGAATGACCCTCATTCTAAAGCCTACTGGGCATTACTGCCAAATCAATACTAAAGCGGTTTGCTTGATGAGAGAGTGAAGATTTATTTGCTCTGGAAAGCACAGAGCCTTTTACATCCCCATGAACAGAAAGCCTGCCTGTCCCATGCAAAAAGATTTAAAAGGAATATCCAGGTAATTTTCAGCTGCACACCCTTATTCTAGATATGTGCATAGCTTTGATGGTGGGGGAGCCATCCACTGCTTTTAAAATTGCAATCCTATGGCAAAGGCTCACGCAAAGTGAAGACAGCCACAATGGCACTGAGGCAGTTGGCTCCGGATTTCTGTTTAAAATGGTTTAAAAGACAGAATCTTGTGGTACTTTAAAGACTAACTGCTTTCTTATGGCATTCAGTTTCATGGACTGCACTCTATCAAATGTATCCATGGAAGCTTATGTTGTAAGAAATGTGTTCAGTGTCTAAGGTATCCAAGCCTTGCTTGCTTTTCTTGCTTTTCCTTCCCTTCCTTTCCTTCTCTCTCTCTCTCCCTTTTTTTCTGCAGCAGACTACACCTCTGGACATTTCTTAAATGATTGTTTTATTCATTTTTATTTAACATTTCCCATCTTGCTTTGGACTAGGGTTTACCCTGCTTTTGCTGCGATTGTTAGCGATGAATGAGCCCCCACCTGGGTGCCCCTCCGCCACCTGAGTGTTCCCACTGAATGCTTTAAAAGCCTAAATGATTTTTCCAGCATTCAGTAGGAATGCTTGAAAAGTTCAAAAGGCTCAGGAGCTTCTCTCTATACGTTTCCTCTGCACGTTTCCTCTTAGGGGAGCGAGTTATTACAGGCAGTGAGGTCCAAAATCCTCTGGAACTTGGTATTGCCTCTGCTTCCCCCCACTGGCTGTAGGATGAATGGCAATGCAGGAAGCTCGTGATGCGACACAAAAATGGGGTGAAAAAGAGCAGGCCTTGACCTGGTGCTGTGAGATGGCAGGGGCTTGAAACAGAAATTCCTCCTCCGCTAGTTCAAAAATGCCTAGTCCAGGCTTCCTCGACCTCAGCCCTCCAGATGTTTTGAGACTACAATTCTCATCATCCCTGACGACTGGTTCTGCTAGCTAGGGATCATGGGAGTTGTAGGCCAAAAACATATGGAGGGCCGAGGTTGAGGAAGCCTGGCCTAGACCATTCCAAGATAGGTCTAGATCCCTTGGAGCTTGTATTGTCTCTGCCTCAAAGTGGTAAAAATTCTTCTTGAACCAGGGGAGGAGTCTGCCTTTCAAGCTAAACTTCTCCCATTTTGAGTCCTATACCATCTGTAGCTGTGCTGTCCCTTTCATGTCTATTTTTGTGTCACCATCCACTGATGGTGGCTGTAGTCAGTTGGGTTGATAGGGTTGCTCAACAGCATTCTGAATCTGCTCACAGCGACACTGCAATGCAGTGGTTATGACAACCCGTTATTCCGATATGATACACTTACCGTAGCTAACACAGAGGGATGTGGGTGGGATTTTTAATCAAGCTATGTGTAGCACAGAGATAAAAGGTTGCTGCCTTCTTTGACCCATATGCTGAATCCTGACCACAGCCAAATGGACAGAACTCCAATAACCTGAGATGCAACAGACAAGAGCAGAAAGATTTGTAGTTCAGCCAGTTTAGATGAACAGGATTCAGCTGGCTTAAATCCCAGATCCTCTCCCATAAATATGCCATGTATTGATCTGTAATCCATATTTCCTGCCGCTTCTTTGGCACAGCAATAATACATGCAATGTGAAGGGTAACTATGAGCCTTAATGAGACAGAGCAAATATAATTTATAGTAGTGAGATAGATAAACTGGACACAATTCTCTTCGAGCTTGTAAGGACTAGAGTTGAAATTTGTGCAACTATCTGTCTTGTCCCACCACGCTCTTACCTGAAATGTCCTTCCTGCTCCAATTTCAAATGAAAGTTTTGTGTGTGTGCCAACTCTTGAAAAGTTATTCTGAATATCTACAGTTTTTTTCTATGGTGTTTTCTTTTGAAGCACTGAATCTGGAAGTCAGGAGACCAGACAAGATTAAATTGGAGCACGTCCAAATGAATGACTTATCACAAGGCACTTTCTTATTATTCCGCAGAACACCAGTTTTAGCAATTCATATTCCTTGCTATTTCACAAGGGTTCAGAGGAAGGTGGGTAACGTATACGTTGCATTTCCCTTCCCTCCCCATGCCCCCTATGGATTTTAGTGGCCATTAACTATCTGGACTGTGCTGAATATTCTTAACAACAACAACAAAATGTTATTGCTAGTTTAGGTGATGAGAAATGATTCTCATTTTGAGGGTCTAGAAAACCTTGAAAATGTTCTCGCGTGAAGATATAGGTCAACAAGCAAGGTTAATTGACAGCAAATAAATGTCGATAAACACACAGGAGTGCGGAAGGAGTTACAGCTGGATGGTAGATCACACATTTTTCAACATCCTATGTCCAGTCTATATAATGGGTCTAGCTTATGGGGTCTCCAATACAGTGCCCATAGGCACCATTAAGTTTATCCTCCCCCACAGTGCTTGCCAAAGTTCCCTGCCCCTCACAATTCTTAATTATTATTATTTTTTGGCTGTTGGAGCAAGTGGGGGGAGGGAACCTACTTTTTCTGGCTGTTATTTTATTTGGGAGAACCCATGACCATTTAAAGTGTTATCATTGTATTTTAAAAGTATAGTGTGCATGTGGCCATACACAACCCTCTCTATCCTCTGCCCAAGTTAGCAAGAGGGAGTGTCAAGAGATCAAGGCCACATTTCAGCCTGGCAAAAAACAGGTGTGAAGTAGGCACAGTGATAGCTGTGGTCTAGATTGAGTTCCAAGGGCCAGATAGAGGTGTCTGGATGGAGGGCCACATTCAAAAATAAGAATAGCCTGCTGAATCACCCCTTTTGTGATTTATCCTATGCCGCTAACAAACTCCTTTTATAGGAATGTTTGCACTGCATATCCTTCCCACCTGGAGACAAAGTGTATCACTTTGACCTTGGCTTATGCATGAATCTTATTTCAGCAATACTGTATACATAATATCAGTGGTTTGCAGTCACAGTTGTTTCCTGCAATCAACGTGGTTCCTCATTACCATAACTGATAAACATCAATCATGTTTTGCCGGAAAGCCATCACTTCTTTCCAGTTCTCTGGCTGTCCATTCCAGTTCAGTTTCTCAGTGACCACAAGTGTAACCTAATTACCAGTTTCATCACTTAGCTTGACCTGCAGCAGCATAAACAGTACTTTGTGTTGCTGGGGCTAAAATGTATCCTGTATTACTTTTGGGTCAAGCCATTCACATCCTTATTATCCTGAACATGCCTGGTGCATACATGGAAGCAATCAGCTGTCTTCTCTTTGCCAGTGCCAGAGCAGATGACAATCCTTCGCAGGCATAGCAATAAGATTACACATACTATGACATTTTGCCTGCTGCTACCTAGGACTTGCTGATCAGAAGGTCGGCGGTTCGAATCCCCGCGATGGGGTGAGCTCCCGTTGCTTGGTCCCAGCTCCTGCCAACCTAGCAGTTTGAAAGCACGTCAAAGTGCAAGTAGATAAATAGGTACCGCTCTGGCAGGAAGGTAAACGGTGTTTCCATGCGCTGCTCTGGTTCGCCAGAAGTGGCTTAGTCATGCTGGCCACATGACCCGGAAGCTGTACGCTGGTTCCCTCGGCCAGTAAAGCGAGATGAGCGCCGCAACCCCAGAGTCGGTCATGACTGGACTTAATGGTCAGGGGTCCCTTTACCTTACTACATTGACACTGGGGGCTTGTCCCTTCACTCCAGCATTGGGACCTGAGAATCCCAGCCTATGCACTGCTGCTTCAGTTTAACAGCTCATTTATTTATTTTCTTACATTGACAATCCCACCTTTCTTCCCCCATGGAACATAAGGCAGTGTATATGTGGCTTCCGGACCTACATAGCTTCAGAAAGATAGTTGTTTCATATACCTCCAAACCATACTCCTGGTCATGGCATGCAGAAAGGTACACTATGGCATCTTTTCCATTATAAGATGCAGGCTCAGTGCCACCTTGAACTAGAATTGTAAAACTGGGTAAGAGGCCATCCATGCTTGCTTCTGTTCATCTGTGTATCAGCCAACTCAAGACTGAAGATTTGCTTTTTCGAAGTAATTGGCAGTGTAAATTCCAACATGCCCTTTCCCTGCCACCACTGTGGATTGGTTCATCTTGGTCAAGTCTCTGGGATCTCCAATTAAATATCTCCAATCTCTGAGGCTGTTCAATATCTCCATCTCAGGCTTTGGGGGGGTTGATGCTGTCAATCTGAGTTGTTGGCATTGGCACCAATCTGGGCAGGGCTTGGGGGTGGGGGTGACATTCAAGGCTCCACTCAGCAGATTGAGCATCCTCTCCCAAATGCAATTTGCCACACTTTGAAGTGAGTGAGGTGACAGACATCACCTCTGAAAGAGGCCCCGCCCCAATAAGACCATTAAAACCAGAGGCTATCTGCAGCACTGGTTGGTGGCACTGGACTAGAATGAACCAATAGTCTATGACTATGCAAGCCAGCTCCTTTCAACTATATGTGCATACACTTTGCACATTTTAAATTGTACAACCATTTTCTAACTTAAGGCATTTGAAAAGGCATTTTGCCTATCGACGAGGTTAAAAAGGGGACTGCTGTGAAAGTTAGAACTGGGCAACCTATCCTTTCCTGACTGCAAATATGTTTCATTGAGCAATGCTGCTCTTTGCAGGTATACGAGGGCAAAATGAGAAAAGGATATTGTCAATACATCACAACCCCTTACGTTTACTGAAGTGAACAGCTCGTGTGTGCATAGTATACTAAAAAATGGGCAATGACTGCAAGGTTGCTAGAGAATAATAAGATATATGGAAAAAAGACTCACGGATGGAAGTCTTGTGTATGCCATTGAGTATATATTTATTCACCTCTTTTATTCTTGATTATTTCTGAGCATGCAGAAATATGATGGCAAAACTAGCTCACCACTCATCCCTGCTCCTGATAGAACTGTCAGCATCTTAAAATCTTGGAAAACAGATTGAATCCCTGCTTCAGAATCCAGATGCTCAGCAGTCCCTATAAATCAGGAATGGGGAATTTGAGACCTAGAAGCTGAAGGCAGCCTTCCAGATCTATCTGGCCCTTGGGAATCTTCCTAGGTCATGTCCCCCTCTCCAGGCCACACCCCTCACTGACATTGTTCCACATCCTCCTTTAGCCTGGCTGGAATGTGTCCTTGAATTCTGATAGTGTGAAGGGAAAAAGGTTCCCCATGCCTGTTATAAAAGCAAGAAGTTGAGTCTGCTGGCAGGCTGGTCAATAGCGCACACCTCTTCTTGTGCCTTTATTGTTTTCCCTTCTCTTTGTGCTGCCTTCCTTTCCCAACCTTACATAGGAGCCAACTCCTAGAGGCTAAGGTCCCCTCACCTCTCATAAAATATTTGAGGGGGCAACCCTCCTCCCCAACTTGATGGGCCTTGCCATTCGAATGGTGTGTGTGCCATGTCTTGTGATCAATTATGTGGGGTGGGGCTTACCTCCCCCTCCCCAATATTTTATTCAAGTTGGCACTCCTGAAACCCTATTTGACTTGACTTCTGTTTGGTCCTCCCTGCCACCTTGCTGCCTGTCCTCATCAAAGTTTTCCTGGTCACAATCCTGCTCAAACTTATCTCCTTTCCTTCATCCTGCTTTGATCCCATGTCCTATCTTGCTCCCTGATACAGGATTAGGAAGGGTTCTGTAACACAGGTGAAGACCGTGGGAGAACCACAGCCCCACTTTGTTACCTACAGATACAAGCTTGGTTGTTTGCTAATGACTGGTGCGTGGAGGACTCTTCTAAGTGAAATGAATACCAGAGAATGGGATGGAGGGGCTGGGCTGCTCCTACGCTGCTCCTGCCTGAAACATCTTGTTTGTATTGGGAGGTTTCCATGTCCCTTGGAACTCATGCAATTCAGTGCATCCTGGGAGAATTTATTTTCCCAGGCTACAGCTACAGACCCTGATGTTGGGAAAGATGGAGGGCACAAGGAGAAGGGGACGACAGAGGACGAGATGGTTGGACAGTGTTCTCGAAGCTACAAACATGAGTCTGACCAAACTGCGGGAGGCAGTGGAAGACAGAAGTGCCTGGCATGCTCTGGTCCATGGGGTCACAAAGAGTCGGACACGACTAAACGACTAAACAACAACAACAACACAACTACTGACTACTCATAGAAATGGGCAAATTCTTCATTGGACATTGTGGAGAAATGATGTTAGCCAAACAACCAGTCATTTTTGGCTGGTGGCCCTTCTCCATGATATACAAGGCTGATCTCACTTGCCCACTTAAGCCATCAGTGATTAGACTCTGGCTCATATTCTTTTTAAATGGCATATTTTTTGTCATTCTCAACTTTAAGAATTGTATTTATTTTAGGGAAGAAATTTGGCAGCTCACGTGACTGTGGTCCGTAGCTCAGCAAAAAGTGCCAAGTTCAGTAGCTGGTGGTGGAAAGACCTCTGCATGAGAGTCACTACCAGAGTAGACAATATTGGATTAGATAGTCTGGGCTTCTATTTTTTAAATGCTTTAAATCTGGCAAGAGTCCTGAAGTTGTGCTCCTTTTCATTAGATCTGGCTGCTTTCAGAGCAAATGAACTAGTTTTTGACCTTTCCCAAAGTTACCTGCGTGCGTATGCAAATGACTGGTGCTATTTTAGAAACATGCTTAGATGTATATGCCTAATGATAAAGTATTGCTTCTGAAGATGAAGCATTTGTACTTTGCGCCCTCTTCCGTTCTCCATGTGATTAAATTCTCTCATCAGAATGAAAGCCGTTTATCATCCTCAATGTACAGATAATATGATGATTGATGGCTTTGCATCCAACTGTATAATATGCAAATATAGCCTTCTGCTTCCTCTTTGGCAAAGCCCTGTGTGCTTCTTCCCATTCATTTCCTAATCCCCTTAAACACGAATGTGATATGTGCGTTGTGGAATGTGATCACCACAGGGATTCTGACCTCCCCCTGACCCCCATCCTAAAGAAAAATACTCAGGATTTAATAGCTATTAAGCTTCCTGAAAGGTAGCATTACCAGATTAGGTTTATGCACCAACTTTAGAAATGCAATTATTTCACTTTCTAAGTGCTATCTGATGGTAAACATTGTCTTCATTTATAGCTGACTCCTTGAAAATAATAAAGACACAGCTGTTGTCATCTGAGCCTTATAGAAGAGAGAAACTGCAGATAATGAAAAATGTTGATAATGAATTTTTGTTTCCAGGGAATTAAAATCCCAGAATCACTCAGCTGCTGATGTAAATAAATCAGGATTGCACAACCTGTGATCTAGCAACCTGAACAAAGTCCACCAGCCAGGTGACATGATTAGCAGATAATTGATATGCCCTCTATGGCATAGTCCCAATAGGCACGATAACAGCACTTTATCACATCCCTAGTGGTGCTTCCAAGTTCTGCAGACCTGGATTTTTTTAAACTTTTAATTTAAAAAAGGCAGGGTATATAAGGCAACATAAAGGTTTTGCACACTAATACATCCAGCGCACACCCAAAAGGTTCAAAGCAATATGTATTGGAAAAATAACACGCCTCTTGACCATGTGACACTTCGTCAGAGGAGACCATTTCAAAACAATGTCCTGTTTGCTGGGCTTGTGAATGAACAAAGTGACAAAGATAATTCCTGTTGGAAGAAGAGTCTTATTTTTTATGCATATCGCTCCACTAAATATCAGTCTGCACTATTTCGGATTTCAGCATCACCTGTTATGCAATGCCACTTTTTTTTTTACAGCCATCTTGCAGAAATAGTGAAATTGCTGCAAAATGACACACCTGAGGCTCTAGACAAATATAACTGGCTAAGCAGAGTGGAATATTGTACAGATCATCCAACTAATTAATATAGCATGGGCAAGAGGAGACTGTCAATACTAACAGATTCAAGGACAATTGGAAATCATTTATTTGGTTTGGGATTTCATCCAGAGTTAAGTAATTCAATAGATTTATTGTCAGCTACCTAAGAAACAAGCTTAGGTTCCTTTTTGTGTGTGAGTTAACTGTATCCTGATTTTGTGCAATAAAAGTATTCAAAACAAAATTAATCTAGGGATTCACCTTTATATATATGCAGTCCTCTTTTTTTTTTTTTACCACCTTCAATTCTTTTGTCAGTCTCCGTTCCGAACGTCTGTTAGAGAGCTGCCACAAATTTAGCCTTGAAAGGCTGACATTTAGCCTTTCCTCAGCTTTAGTCAATCAACACTATTCCCTGTCTGAACTTTTGAGCACACTTTGCAAAAATAGTTGGATAGTGTCAGTCAGATCAGCGTTTTGAGATTGACTGTTCCTTTTCCCTCTAGAAGCGAAACGCTGTGGCAAGTGCAACTGTTTTGCCTGCTTGTCTGATAGCCTTTCCATCACGGGCTCTGCAGGGGGGGAAACCTTAACACTGTCAGATAATGCCTGTGTGAGGAAATTTCTGCCACCTCTGGAGAAAATACCTGCCAACGACTAGGTCCAGCCCAAGGTTCAATAAGTAAAAAGACAACTAAAGCACAATAATGAAAAGAAGAGAACTCAGTTTTGACTGTCTTGGAGGGGATTGGCCAGAAGTCATCACTCTATGTGCCAATCAGTGTCTCAGCTGGCGGTCGCTTGGTGTCTGAATTGTTCAGATAAATCTCCTTGACAGACTGGGATACGTTTGTACAGCCTGGTGTGTCTTCGGTCAACATTTCTAGTTAGCCTAAGTTCTGGAAATGTGTTTCCACCGGTGACATGTCAGGAAATGGCAAAATATTGTCGGGCCTTTTGGAAATAGGAGAAGGCAAAGATTATACATTCTCCGAGCGGTCGGGCTATTTATGTTAACAGTGGAGACAAACACACTAAGCTACATAACAGCTTATTTATGTTAAGAAATAATAAAGCGGCTACTTATTCACCGCACACAAAACACCTGAGGGAATATTTTGTTTCCTTAAGAAAAATGCCACCACATATTTATAGCGACTCTTTAAAATAAGTCAATTTATTCAGAACAACTCTGTGGAATTGGAACAAGGGAAATTCTTTACACATTCACACATTCAGTCTTTGCGTGTCTCTAGGTGGGTGTTTATTGAGGGACGAGAGGCTCCACATGATGCATGCAGGTGGTCTGTAGAGGCCACACAATGTCAGCTTCAAAATGCCAGAGCCATTTAATCCAGATTTACCAGAACAAACAAAAAACCAAGCCACTGTTTTCAATGACCTGGTTGCAGTATCTCAACAACCCATTAGCAAATTAAGTTCCTGTCTTAAAGCACTGTTTGGCTCATTTCCAGGTCTAGTGGTTAGTGTTGGATTAGGAACTGGGAGACCAGGGTTCAAATCCCCGCTTAGTCATGGGACTCACTGGGTGACCATGTCACAGTCTCTCAGCCTAACTTACCTCACAGGGTTGTGGCGAGAACAAAATTGGGAGGAAGTGTTCCATGAAAGCTATATTGAGCTCCTTGGAGGAAAAGTAGGAAATAAATGCTATAGATAGGTAGATAGATAATATCCTCCAGTTGTCCCCGTTCACCCGGGATAGACCCTCTTTTTGCTACCTGTCCGTTTTTGTTTTCTTTCAAATGACTTGTTAAAATTTTGATCGTGTACATTTCTACTTTTGACTTTCTTAAGGATTCAAGCTTGTACTCCAGGTCTAAACTACATAGATATATTTCTGAGGAATAGGGTGAGGAAAAGCATCATCATCATCATCATCATCCTTCCACCCTTCATCCAAAGATCACAGGGCAGTTTGCATCATAAAAATATAAGTTTCTTCTTGCTTCTAAAGCACATGCATGCAATTTCAGACGTGTGAACATTCAAGTTGCCATGTAGGATGCAGCCTAAATTTCTAAACCAGCGGAGGACAAGCTACTATTGCAGAGTACATTAATATAGTATAGCAAAATAACAGGATAGAGTTTTCAGCAAAGTGCCAGGGGGACAGCAGGCTTGAGTAGTGTTCATTTGTATTAGATAAGGGATATTATCTCCCTGAAGAAGCTAGGTTGGCTCCCTCCTTGTTGTCTTTTCGCTGGCAGTTCTTGCGAACTGACTGCTTTAATGAAAGGGCTGGTGCTGTTTTTATTTTAACCATTTGCATGTTTAAAACAGATTTTATTTACAGTCAGCTCCCTATTTATGTGCGTTCAATATGTGTGTGACTGAGTATGTGTGCATCACACTAAACCCTTAAGTGACCCGAAAAACATCACAAAAGGGGTGGAATGGGGCAGGGGTGGAACGAGGTCTTTGCAGGCTTTTTCAATGGTGTTACAAATGTACATGATTTCATTTAAACGTGCGGTGCCTTGGAATGTAACCCCTGCATAAATTGGGAGTTGCCTGTATGTATATTGTTCTAATTCTATTAATGTTTAATTGTTTTTTAAGTATTGTTTTTTTCTTTTTCTATGCTTTTAGCCATTATTGTTTTGATCCATAAGCCACCTTGAGTCCCATCAGAGAAAAAGGCAGGGTACAAATAAAAAAAACTAATAATAATAATAATAATAAGCACATCCACATTTTCATCTGCGAAAGGTGCATCACTCTTATTTTCCATTCACTATGAGCTGTGCAAATCTTCATTTCTCTCTCTCTCCCCCAAAGGCTATGTGTGAAAATCATTAAGAAACCAAACTTTCCAGAGAATATTCAAAGCATGTGTCCTCTGATAATACCACCTCTATTTTTATATGCGTCAATTTCTACGATATTCTGCATGTTCACTGCAGACATGCTCTCACTAAGGGCCTGTTTTCCAGGGGTCACATTCACTCATTCTACGTGCATGTGAATTTTTTAAAGACAATTGTGCCTTGAGTAGAGCATATGCCAGTACCACAATTTGTGTGGTAGGAAAGCAGATGCTTTGCAATGTGTGCAATACGTGATGCTGGTTTGGAGTTCTTCTGTGCCAGGCTGCCATTGGTTTCTCCAGGCAAGTTTGCATCAAAACATCTGGTTTGGTCCTAAAGCAACAAACCAAATGGAGGGGGCAGCTGTTGTGAGCAGAAATGCTATAACTTTCAGAACAAAATTGTTTTGGGAATATGTGCAAAAGTGGGCTTGCTTAAAAGGATGGGTTTCCCAGACATAAGACTTGTCAGTGTGCTTATCAGAGGCAGGGAAGTCCTCAGGCAGACATGGTACTACACAGAGCAATGTTTCTTTGAAAGTTGCATCCATGCAAAAAATAAAAAAATAGCAATGTTCATGTCTTTCTCTGATATTTCTAGCTTTTTTACCTGGGGTGCAAGTTCCACATGACATTGTTTGGAGAGAGAAAAATCTTTCCCCATATGAAAACTAGGCAGTGGAGTCTCCAGCCAGAGAAACAGACAAGCAGCAGATTTGGACAGGGTGGCTGTCAGAAATTGCTACCTGTAGGCATCTCCCACCTAGACCAGTAAAGATTTTCAGGCTGCGATAGACTGCAAAATGACAAGATGCATTTGAGTCAGACGGAAAGTCAGGAATGAATACCTGTCAGGATCTCACACCTGGACCCCTGATCTCCCTTCTGATCCAAGATAGCAAAAACTGACACATAGCATTACTGGAGAGACCGGCAGATTGAAATCACTACCTGTCACTTTTTCCCACCAGAAGAAATAAAATGTTCTCTTGCTCAGTAGTTACAAATTGTAGAATGTCCGTCTGAACCAGACACACAACAATCAATGGAACAGCTAAGGGAGGTCGTAGGAACTGTTGCCAACTCACCCCTGGATCTTTGAATCAGACCTCAGATGAACAGGCAGGTAATGTCAGTCAGAGAACCACTTGCCTGCTTTGACATTTTGTGGTTCACATAGTGAGGCCCCTTTCCATTTTGGTTGTCTGTGTTTCTAGGTATTTTACAACCACATCATAACAGTCAACACCTGCAACGTTATTATATAAACAACTGTATTATCCATCATTAATACAATGTTATGAACATGAGGGGCAGAGGAATAACACCCCCAACCAAAGAAATTAATGAGTGTCAGAATCTAGATAATAGCTGGGATATCGAAGGGAAAATACAATCTGTAGAGGAATTCCTGGGTTAGCCTATGCAAACTGATCGGCTAGCTTAAGTGCAGAGCCAGTAATAAACAACGGAGTGCCATTAAAGGGAGGTTGCCAAGGTGATGGGGGGGCGTGATGTCAGAGGAAAATTTGTACTTCTTGAAAATCTAAGGATGTACTGAGAGGAAGAAGGATAACAAAGGGCAGACCTTCATGAGCTGCTGGTCAGGCCAGACCTCCATGCTGGAGGCTGGAGGAGGCTGCACCAAGAGCCATGACTGACTGCTGCTTTAGACCTAAGCTTGCTGAAGCTAAGAGAGGGGCAACGAGAGACACTCTTCTGTGCCCCTTCTTACTGTAGACTTTCAGGTGTAAATATGTGTTAATAACCCATATTTCTTCAAGACACTAGCCTCTGCTGTGCCTTGCCTGGAACCCCTGGAATCTCGCTCTGCTCGTTGATATTGCGATGGCATGTTAGAATAAATAAAAATCCAAAACTATGCTTGTCTGAGTAAAAGTGTCTTAAGATATTACAAGAACTGAAACATCGCCTTTCTGGATCAAAGTCTATCTAATCAAATTCTCTGTCTGACATGGGCAGCCAGATGCTACTTGAAGATACCAGCATCTGGTATTCAAAGGTAAACTGGCTCTCAATATGGAGATTCAATTTAGTTAACATTTCAATAGCTGCTGTGTGGCCCTATCTGTCATGAATGCATCTAATCTTCACAAAGTAAGGTTTCACATTTGCCTCCACTATGAGGCAATCTTGCGCATGGACAGGATGCAACAATGCTGCAAATGATGGAATAATTTGAGGGAGCCTCTTTTGAACTGGTTGGTGGGATACAAAGCTATCTAATTGCATGAGTTGGGGTAATGAAATAATAATAATATCAGAAAGGCTGTGAGAAGAATGTAGCACATGAAGAGCCTCTGGAGAAGCCCTCACTTTTTAATATGCTCATTAGATATATGCCTGTGTAACTGTATCTTACCCTGCCTTTGTGATGTCTTCTGTATGAGAGTATTGCTTTGTTTTAAATGGTTGCCCACTAGCAATGAGTAAAAACAGCTTGAACCAAGAGGCAAAGCGAGTGCATCTCCCGGGTTCAGACTTAGGGTTGTTTTGAGATAAGCAGCACCCTGTCGTTGCCAAGAGGAAGCTAATCATTATGCAAAACTACTCTAGATGTAAGCCCCATCTTTATCAGTCTATCGGAAGGGAAGCTAAAATCCATTTGCTCTCCCGAAACTCTGAATGTTTTAGAAACAGTTTCTGCTGGGAAGCTACAATCAACCCTTGCAGCTCAGCTTTGAATAATATCCCGTGCTCCTTTTCCAGAGCATTAACTGGAAAAACTGTTGCCCCCAAGCTTTCGTTTTGCAGAGAGACAGCACCAGCAGCATAGCTGCAGCAGGAACAACAGAGCCTTCAGCTCAATGGGGGATTGACCGCTACAATTCCATCTGTGAGTAATGCCTGCTACTGGATTATTATTATTTTTTTAAAACATGTTTTCCACTTGCAAAGAAGCATGTATAAATAGCCATTCTACCCCTCAAAATACACAGAAGCAGTAAGTGCAAATGGATTAGGCCACCAGTTCTACACATTTCAGAAGGAAATTTCAGATTGAAACATTTTCACAATGGGCACGGTTCCCTTTTCTCCATCTGCAGAAGATGTTAAGATGCATTCCAACTCCCTGCCTCTACCCCTGCCCAGGTGAGAGCATCTCCAGAGTTTCTGAACAGGTGAAGATTCCCAGAAGTGATTTCCTTGGCACTGCTGATCCCAGTGGCTTGGTGGCGTAATAGCCAAGCATTCTGCAGGGGATTAAAGAAGCAGGTTTTTGCATAGGGTAGGTCTTGGGCCATAGCTACAATGCAACACAGAGATTCTATGCTGAAAGGAACAATATTTTAAAGTGGTTGGGGTTGGCCGCATGGCGGTGGAGACCAGGCTACGGGGACAAACCTTTGAGTACCTTCTTACACAACAGTTTTGGTGTGCTATCTGGGAAGTGTAAGTGTAGAGAGGAAGCAAAAAATGTTTCACCTGCCCAAAATCTTCTCTCAAAATGCCAAAATGGCATTCAATATAAGGCTGGCCTAGGAGTAATACTGTAGCCAGTCTCAAATAACTGAACATTCCTATTTTGCATGGGATTGCATCCCAAGGATCAGGATCGCAGCTTGGATCAGGAGTGCCTCTAATGGGTCTTCTCACGGATTATAATTATTAGTTTGAAGTTATGGCCCTGAGTACATCTTATTAGCTTCAATTGATATGCCAGCTGCACTGCTTCCTGGAAATAATGTTGTGATTTCCCTGATATCCTCCCAACTCTATTACTGACTCGACAAATACTGTGGAGCTCCAACACCCAACAGGCTCGGTCAGCATGATCAATGGTCAGCAATGGTGGGAGTTTGAGCTCAGTAACATCAGGAGGGGCACAGCTTAGCCAACCATGCTGCAAATGCTAACAGACGGGGCTGCCACTGAAGGCCGTTTAGAAGCTTGAGTTGGCAGCAAGACTGATGTTGACCACAGAGAAGGAGCAGCATCAACTTTACAAAGCTTCTCCTGGTTTACTAGGTTGTTTCAGGGCTAAATCCATAGAACACGTTCAATATTTGAAGCACAATCTGTCCAGGGCTCAGAATATCCACTAGTCTTCCTGTCCGGCATCCCTTCTCCTCTCAGTAAGCAGCAGTAATACTTGGGGATCAGGAAGCCAGGAACACCCTCTGGCCTGCACTGCACCCCCCGCTGGCACCCTTATCATTTTTTCCCATGTTTATTTTAAGGCTGTGTTTTACAGTTTGGCTAATTTAACAATCTATGACATTTAAACTGTGTGTAAGGGTTAATACTGTCACTATGTTATGTATTTTTGTGTTTTTATATAGTCAACTGCCCTGTGATCCTCAGATGAAGAGTGAATAATAATAATAATAATAGTTGTTGTTGTAGTAGTAGTAATAAGCTGCCCTAAATGCTATTTATTAAGTGAAATGCCAGGATACAACAACAATTTATTATTTACACCCCACCCATTTGGCTGGGTTTCCCCAACCACTCTGGGGAATTGTGTGAAATAAATTTCAGCAAGTCCTGTCTGTTATTATACTGGCATTTCATATTTAGCGTGTTCTGAATGTTATTTGGTGGTATTTTTGTAGTTATTACTGATGTTGATTATCATTTCATCTAAGCTTTGAATTTTGAATTTTACAGCTATTTTATTGCTGCTTCCCACTTGTGTAAGTTGTAAAAATGGAAAAGTGGTTTGCAACATTGCAAATAAATAAGCAAATGTTTTTAAAAGATGAATTAGGTACAGAGGGCATGTTTCAGCCTGCAGAGCTCCTTTTCTCCTTGCCTCACCTCAAACAGAGAACTGTAGATAGACATGTCACAATTTTTCCTGTCATTTTTCCAAGCCTGATTAATGAGAAGGAACAGATGTCCAAGTCTATATCTATCGTAGCAGGGAGCTCCCTTTGAGATTTATCCGTGTGTTAAGAATAAGCCTTCCTTGTGCCAGAGAGCCGGAATTAGAGAAGATAGACTTTTTAAAAAACTGAACTGTCCACCATCATGTGTGCAGAAAACTCCATGAGAGAGCTACAGACATAATGCAGAAACTGCCTGAAAATGTAAATTTGCTAACATTGTGAAGATTTCAAAAGTCAGATTAGAAAAGATTCTGTTCGAAAGACTGGGGAGTGGTACGTCCATCCCCTGCATGCTGTCCTATCTAATTTGTCTCCATTTATATTTCTATGTTTTTATTTTATTTTGTGGACTGCTGTGGTGCTGGAAACAGGTGAGGAGTGGCAGATGGAGATACCTAATATTTGACCAAACAAACTCAGCATATATAAATATATTGAGCCAACTACCCAAGAAAATGATTGCCAGCAAATACTTATATTTCAAATCTGTGTTGCATCTTTTTGGAAAAAAAACTCCTATAAAATTTTAGTGGGTGAGACCCAAAGTAGCAGTCTGCTAGTGCAACCGCCACGCTGCTGCCTTGGTCTGCCTGTGGTCCCCTCTTCTGGTGGATTAATTCAGCTCATAACTCACAATAAGAATGGCATTTAAAACTCCTAATAATCTTCAACTCCATTGCTATGCCAATTCAAAACAAAGTGGGCTGCTGACACATACATGATAGAAGCAGACTCTTATACAATCTCCTTTTACAGTACTTTTATTTGTACTTGTTTAACAAATGCTCAATACTTTGCCTTCTTTTCAATTGCTTTTCCATGTGTTTTTATGCCCTCCCTTTTTAGAAGTACCAATGCAATTGGTTAATAAAATAACAAACATTTAGTGCATTAACATAGTTGGGAAATAAGTGGACAGTCCTCATTAATTCATGTGGTTTTCACAATTACATTAATCATAATGAAGTAATTCACGTCATACTTATGTGAATGTGATATATAATTTATGGGAATTGCTTGGTAATTTTGCAATTAAAATACAATTATATTAAAATGTTACCTACCATCTAATTTCTTTTTTTAAAGCATTATTTATGACATTTTAGCATTAATTATAGAGGGATTAGCAACATTCTTAGTTCGAAAACACCATGTAAGCAGAAATACTTGCACAATGAAATGCTAATTAGTTTCTAGGGAACAGCATTCAGTGAGACAAATACTCTGGAAAGTAACTGTCGGTATTGAAGCAGATGGAAGAAACTAAATCACGCAAGTAAAACATCAGATATTTCATTTGCACACCTGTCTGAGAAGTTGTTCTCCATTGTGTGGGGAAGGAACACTATACAGATTACATGAATCGAGCCCAAGAAGCCCAGAAGGCAAAACTTTCAGATGTCTTACTTCTGAGTGTATTTTGGGTCAGCATTTGAAGACATACTGGCCCATTCCCAAGTTTCTCCTTGTAGTGCTCTGTTACCATTACACTCGATAACAGCTGTCTATACAAATAGCAGTTTCCCAGCATTCTTCCTCTTTGTCACTCTGTTCCTAACATAAGATCCTATCACATTCCCAAAACTGAATCACACTACAGTAGTAGCTTGGTTTTCAAACGAACCCATTGATGAATGTTTTGGTTTCTGAATTCTGTAAACCTGGAAGTAAATGCTTCAGTTTTCGAACGCGCCTCCGAAGTTGAACATGAAACGCGGCTTTCGTATTGAGTTCTCCATTTTGAGTCTTCAGTACTGAGTTTTCGGTTTTCGAACATTTCAGAACTTGAATGGTTTTCCAGAATGAATTATATTTGAAAACTGATTTCCTGTTAGAATTCCTGCTCCATGATTGCAGTCATGGGATTGTTGTCTTTCACATGACGGTGTATGTTTTGACTCCACAAAATGAGAAGTGACGGAGAAAGGATGTTTGTGTTACAGTGTTCCACGAAGTGGGACTATTGTCCTTTGTTCTTTCTCTTTGCTGTCTGATGCTAGAGAGAGGGAGCCATGTTGCAGTGCTCCATGTATGTTTATATGTAAATAAAGTAGATTAGCCAAAATGCTGAGTTGCTGAGCACTGTTACGCAAGCTGCAAAGACTCTGCGGATCCCTAAGTGTGCCGATGTCTGTAGGCATTGGTCGCTGTGATGTTCGGGCAGAAGAAAGCTTTTCAAGCTCCCAAACGAACGACCAGGAGGGAGGGAACATGCCAGACAGGCATGTGTCCCAGCCAGGGTCCTACTTGAGAGTAGGATGAGCTCCTAACAGGTACCACTGTCTAGTATGGTTAAGAAGCAAGGTCTACCCAGGCAGACTTAACTGAAGGGATGGAGCTACATAAGTATTATTTGGCTTAGTTCTTAATGGCACTTTTAGTCCTTTGGAACAAAGTAAATGAGCTGCAATCTCGGACATGGTTCAGAAGCCAAAACTCTTGGGATCCCTGGTCAGTTTGGCACCCATCCTAAGGATGTGTCTTTACTTTTTCCACTATCGGCAGATGTGATTGCCAGAAGCTACTTTATACAGAGCCCGACCACTGGTCCATCTAGTTCACTACTGTCAACATTGACTGACAGCAACTCTCCAGGGTTTAAGACAGGAGTCCTTCCTAGTCCTAGCTGGAGGTACCAGCCACCCACTTCCCATTATCTAATACCTGAGTCCCACGTGGGGCAAAATATTTCCGATGACCTTCGTGGTCCCTTCCAACTCTAATTCTATGATGCTGTTAAGCAGAGATGGTTGGGGCTGAACTTGGGACCTTTTGCATGCTTAGAATGTGCTCTGCTGCAAAACTATGGGCCCCCACACAGCTGCTTCTTATGCACGTGAAAGATATTGTAACATGTAATAAACTTTGCCAAGGTGGTTGGCTTAAACTTTTATCGGTGGCTACACTGGGTGTTTTCCCTGACTCTCCCAAAGCAATTATCCTCTCAGCTATGGATACAACAGTATTCAAAGAATATTTCCACCATATCAGAGAATCTGTGAACAAATTATTCTGAAGCCTTTGTGCTGATAACTAACAAATAAAACTGAATTCCAAAGCACAACCTGGAGAACAAATCAGCTGAAAGAAATGTAAGATTGTGATCAACGCCTTTTCAAACGAAGCAATGTTCTCCCACACAGAATGTCAAAGAGATCACCAAACAACTGTTGCTCATTGTGAAACATGAATTGTTAACTAATGCTGCACAATCAGAACCCTGCTTTGTTCCGTATAAGGCTTGCAGTCACGATCATCAATGCTATAGCAATACAATGCGAATGAGTTTTCCCTGTGCCGCAAATATAATAAAGCCTTAATAAAGGCATAAAGATGTGGAAATGTGTAAAAGCGGCAGACATTTGAAATAAGTAATTTCTTATCTCAGCTGCACAAATGTAGGATTTCTTACAAATACAACAGGCAGCTGTGAGGACAAAAGACTGGGAACAGGTAGGCACTGTGCATCTTTGGCAAAGCTTTGCACAAAGTGAACAAGAGCATGGTCATGCATCCAATGCTCTGGAAGCCTTCGGACCATTTGCTGTTTCAAAGAGCAGCAGGAAGAAAGCACTCTGAGCAATTTGCCCAATGTCACAGCGCCTGAATACAAAAGCTACAGAGTGACATAAATTCAAGTGCCTTGGAAAAAAAGACACGTTTTATTGGCTTTACTATGAATGCAGCTTTGAGTAATGATAGGTGAGACTCAATTCAGACATTACAAAGGTGGGGGCGAAATCCACATTGGGGTCCCAGGATCAAGCCCATCCCTCCTCGGGAGCATGAGTGTTCTCCCACATCCATGCGCCAGACACGAGTGAGGTGTACACAGACAGCGGTTGCTGAGGATCAGGGTTTGTTGACATTTACCCTACCACCCTAGGTGCTCCACTAAAGTAGCCTGCTTGTAAAACTAATTGCTTGTTGAACTAATGTGAGATCCACATTAAACCATACGGGTACAACGGTTGTATTAGCACAAGTACCATCTGAACAATGCCATAGTAGATAGCGCATGCAGTGGCTGTCAGGAGTCACCTAAGTATATTTTTGATATTAAGTCTAATTAAGTCCTACTCAGAGTAGACCCCCTTAAAACTAAGTTAGCTAGGCCTATGAATTTCAATGGTTCTACTGGCATTGCTTTTATATTCCCCCCCTTTCATTATTTTTCTGAGTGAAATTAGCGTTTAACATAGAGAATGGATATAATGTAAAAACACAGATAAAGACACATTTTCTGTGTTTTTAGGTTATATGTACTCTCTCTCTCATAACCCCCTAATTCACTGTCACAAGAAGTGGTGATGGGCAGTAGCTCAGATGGTTTTTAAAAAGTGATTAGACGAATTCCTAGAGATAGTTCCTTACTGGTTACTAACTGATAGCCACTAGCTACAATGGCTTAATGAAATCTGCATTTTAATACCACTTGTTGGAGCACAATAGTACAGTATATTTATTTATTGCTTCCCATGAGGCAACCCAAAGTGATTTGCAATATAATAGCATACTGTATATGAAACATTCACACAAACTTAAAACAATCACATGTATAAAAACATTTTTTAAAATAAATATAAATATAAAAACAGTTTAAAACAGCAGTACATACATAAAATCAACTCAAGTTCAAGACAGATACCTACTGAGATGAACTGAGAGCTTGTTGAAGGAACAACAACAACAACAACAATTTATTACTTATACCTCACCCATCTGGCCAGGCCTCCCCAGCCACTCTGGGCGGCTTCCAACAGAATATTAAAAACATGATAAAACATCAACTGTATTCAGCATGTGCCAAACCAGCAGCAACAATGGGGAAGGTGCCTGTCCATCTCTACCACTTACCACTTCGGGGTATCTCAGGGTTGATAACATGTGAAAATTGCTTAGAACACCAAACGCTTTTGTAAGGGAACTGACATCGGAGTGAGAGGCGAAGGGGAGGCTCCTAGATGATGCTGGTGAAGGACCCAGCAGCAGGGGGAGAAACAGCTCAGTGGAGGGGGAAGCAAATCAGCGCAACACCAGGGATAAAGGGGGGCAGATGGGGAATCGGAGAGAGGGCTCCAGGACTCTTCACTGGACCTCAGTGAGGAGGGGACAGGTCCTCCGCTACCCACGCCCTCCCTGCGCAGAAGACTCCCGCGCAGTGAGAGGAGGAGGAGACTGGGTGTCAAACAACTTTTATGTTGGAAGAGGTTCAAGAAACGCCCACTGATGGATTCTGCCAGCAACTGAGGCAGCCACGATGAGAAAGGGCTGTGCAGTCAGAAAGGTTTAACAAGGCAAATTAGCCTAGAGAGGCACCAGTTTACGCACGAGTAACTCATACCCTACGCTACAGCTTTAAATATTTAAATGGAAAACCTGGAGCCCCAAGAAAAGTAAAATCTTTTTTCTTTCCTGCCCACACCGCTGCTGTGTGCGGATGGTGACTATTTCCCAAGCAACTGCTACAATAAATAAAGCCCATAAGTGGCGTGACAGGCAGCCTTTTTCTCCCTCCAGCCTGGCAAATAGCTGCTTGGCATGCTTTAAATATGAGTCCTGCAGAGTAACAGCTTTTAGTATGAAGGGAAAAATGCTGAGCAGCAGTCAATTTCCAGACTAAATGAGACATAAAGGTCATGAGGAGGAATGGGAAAATAGTAAAGCTGCTTTTACCTAAATAAATAAAGATCTGAATCAGCCATAATCAAGGGATGCATTGTGCAGCAGCTGTACAGTTGCATTAAGTGGTTCCTCCAAGAACTACTCCAGAAAACTATTTCGTTGAACCCTAATGGCAGCCATTATGTTATCCTAATTATGTTTTTCCCTCAACCCCCTCCTCCCCCTTTTAAAAAAAGTACATATCTGCATTTAACATAAAATAGTATATTGAAAACTTGCCTCAACTCAGAGGTGGCCTCGTCCCCTGCAGCATATGGGGAAATGACATTATTAAGTATAATGGCTGGGTTACAGATTCAGCTAGAAAAACATGCCTAAATTTTAAGAAAGACAATTGTGAGCTGTTACCATAAGAAACAGCTGGAGAATGCACCATCCAGTTACTTTTCTGAATTTCGTGCCACTTTCAACGTTGTTAATGCCTGAATGACATGGGCGTGTGTGGCAGTAGGCTTGGATTTTGTCCGACTAACTTAATTAGGAGTGACACCTCAATCCTAAATGCAAACCCAAGCTAGACATTAGCTGGGGCATCAGGCAAACTCCGTATTCAAATTCAAGTTCAAAGTTAGTGTTAATCCTGCTGGTATCTAAGATGGGATGTTTAGATTTCAGACAGTTTTATATTAAGCATCTTTCTTTGAAGCAATTTTCAATGGTATTCAGGAGAAATTTAGTGGACACAGATCATTTCACCAGTCCAAGGATCTCTATTTTCCTCATTATGAAAGTAAATTATATGGCTAAGCTTCTCTGGCTAATCGCTGAAGAACTCAGTGGAATTAGCATATTCACAACCATAATTCTGCTTCTGACTTCTACCAACTTTGGAATATTAGAAGCGCATATGATGTACTATGATGACGCACATCCTGCCCCCCTCTCTCCTTGTCTGGCATGATTGGGAAAAATCCATATCTTGGTTTCAACTAACCACAGTTTATCACTGCAGTCAAACCAAGCCAAACTATGCTTAAACTATGGTTTGTTTAAATTAGCCAGGATCTTTCCATCAACAGTGGAAAGTTGATAATGTTCTGTTAAATATAATGACCTCCACTTTCATATTTTAAATTGCTCTTAATCTGTATATTGTGATATTGCTTTAAGGTTTTTTTAAATTAAAGATTTAAAAAATTAAACTATTAAGTCACCTTGGGGCCCTTTCTGAGCCAAAAGTTGACTCATGTTTGGTCTTCAGATCTTAGATGCTACTGAGTACACATTCTGCTATGAATTTCCTTATGGAGATAAGAAATCTGCAGCTCTTAGAAACAAAACACCACTGCAGATAAAATAATAAATGCATTAATTTGGGGTCCACTTCCCCTTGCCTTCTAAGTACAGAGGTACCTCAGGTTAAGTACTTAATTTGTTCCAGAGGTCTGTTCTTAACCTGAAGCACCACTTTAGCTAATGGGGCCTCCTGCTGCTGCTGCCACCGGAGCACGATTTCTGTTCTCATCCTGAAGCAAAGTTCTTAACCTGAAGCACTATTTCTGGGTGAGCGGAGTGTGTAACCTGAAGTGTATGTAACCTGAAGCGTATGTAACCCGAGGTACCACTGTACTGTGTTTTAGGCTGCTACGTGGTCAAGCTTATCCTTGCTATCATGAGGGCTGAAGATGACTACCATTTCAACAGTTGCCCAAGGGTTAAGCACAACCGTGTGGGGAGAGCAGGCAGTCCCCTAGCTCGTATATTGCCTGGGCCTGACCCATCACATCAGTGTGAAAGTCGCTAATATATATCTGCGCACATTGCTACATAAAGTGATATAGAACTGCAGTGTCGTTTCATGAAATATTTCCGTTCATGCATAATTCTATTCCAGCAAGCACCCCATTGACGTCAATGAGACTTTGCATAGCTAGATTAAAGAGCTGCCTTCAGCTGACTCCGGTGGGCTCTGGGTCTAGCAATCTGTATTTGTATTCCTTGCTATATTGCATGCAATTTCAGAGGGAATAAGCATGAAATTACAATAAAAATATGACGCTGCAGATTCCTGAACTTCGGCACCCTTCCAATTAATTGAATGTGAGTTGTAACAGAAAGAAGCTCTTCAAATTTAAGCTCTGTGCCAAGTATAGCTGCTTCATGAGCATGGTTTTAAGTCCTCTTCCAACACCGTGGCTATTAATTTAGTTAACGTTCTATCATTATAAAACCAGGCCACTTTTGAGGCTTTCTAATAATGAACTAAGTGAAATTCTTTGCTAGTTTTCAACTGGGGTGGTAATAGTGGCAAATGGCCTGAATAAAATATTTAAATAGATACAGATATATAGACAGATTTTCTGTAGTGAGTCATATCAACAGGATATATCATACTGCTTCTGGCATTGTTAGTGCTTTCCGCCCCAAAGCATTTTACAAACTCAAAAGTAACATTTCTGAATAATTCTAAAGACTACGTGATAGCAAATGCCGGTATGAAACAAAATCCCTAACACTGTCTATGTAACCTAGACTGTGAATATATTTTCTTACTGATAGTAGTATGACAATGAACCTAAGGTGTTCTTAAAAAAGAGCAGAGTCAGAATTCAAAAAGCTGTATAAAGGACAGAATCTGTCCTGCCTTTCATTTCAGCTATTATTTGAAGTTGGCTTGTTTGGAAACTATTCATAACTAGTGTTCAACCACAATTCCTGGTCTGGATTAAATTGTGAGCCACAGATAACTAAAAACAGAAGTGGAAGCTTGACGGGAAGAGAAGAAGCAGGGAGGAGGGAGCTAAGTTTGTTCCCATAGTATTGAGCAATGGTTAAGTATTATGTCTAAATGTGGCCATACAATACAACAATGCAACTAGATAGCAGAGCACTTTCATTTCACTTGAGAGGCTGTATTTGTGTTGACAACATCTCCAGAATGGCGAGAAGCTTACAATAATTCTGAAAAATACCTTCTGAGGCTATGAAAGGAATAGCCTAATTATAAAGCACTTCATCTTTAGTGAAGGTATTTCCAAAATAATGGATTAAAACCCATATACTGAGGCTATAGCCCTATACATACATACTTACCTGTTAAGTCCCATTGAAATAAGTGGGGCTTACCTCTGAAGAGACATGAACATGATTCAGCTGCTGTGGGAGGGATATTGCCTACTACTTGTGCCCTTCCATAAAATGCCATTGTTGAAAAGGAGAAGATCTAATAGGAGCCGAGTCTTCTTACATAAAACAAACCAAACAAAACACAAATGTGTGTCTTGTTCTCAAAGATGGACAGATAATTTTTCAAAGAGCATTCTTTCCCACAAGAGGTGGTCCTTGCCAGTGAGCAAGATGCCAAGTCTGCCTAAAACTACTGATGCCCAGTATTGCTATCACTCTTTTACGCGCCTTTCAGCCAAGCCAGATGAAAACAAAAGCAGTAGCTTGGGAACACAAAAAGACACAGCCTATTTCTTTTAAAGCAAAACACTTACCAGCTGGTTGCAGGGGGGGGGGACAGGAATGGGGGGAAGACTTGAAAATATAGCTGATATATGACAGGGCTGGGTGGGTACCAGGTGTCATAGAACTGAATCCAGGTAAAGCTGAACCAAACCTTAGGGCAAGGTGCAGCACCCATCATCCTTCACTACTGGCCAAGATGGCTGTGACTGATGGGAACGGGAGTCCAAAAACGCCTGGAGGGTCACAGGTTTCTCACTCTGGGACTGATTTACTGTCCCTGATCTTTCATCCTTGTACCACCATAAAATACTGCTGTCCTAGTTTTACTGGGCTGTTTTGCCATTTCAAAAGGGGCACTGTCTCATGTGTTTCCGGGCAGCCTTCTAGTCAAATGCTCTTTCCCTGCCAAATCTCATTTTTCAAACACAATGCCATGCCCCCTCTAGGGCATACACACATGCAATTCAGTTTCTCAGCTCAGCCCTAAATTTCTCCCTTCCCAAAACCCAGAGGCATTTAAAGTGGGAAATCAGCTGGCCAGACCAGTGCCATATCATTAACAACAGACCACCCAACAGCCTGCTGTGAGAGATGTGTGGAGCACTTTGAGGGCAAATCACTTGAATCCACGACAAACTTGATGCCACAATTAGTTTGGGCCTGTTGGAGGTCCTTGTAGCACCATTAACTTAGAACCTGTGGATCCCTTTCAGTTGTGGAAGCCTGAAGCTTTCAGTGGTGGGACTGACTACAAGCGCTTCTTGAAGAGGTCTTCCCTGCATCCAAAGATTTGAGAGAACTATCATCCAGTCTCTAATATTCCCTTCCTGGGCAAGGAGACTGAGAAGGTGGTGGCCATCCAGCTACCGGTACGCCTGGCGGAATCAGATTCTCTGGATCAGCCTTTCTCAGCCTTGGATCACCAGAAGTTGTTGGACCACAACTCCCATCGTTCCTAGTTAGCAGGACCAGTGATCAGGGATGATGGGAATTGTAGTCCAACAACATCTGGGGACTAAAAAGTTGAGAAAGGCTTCTCTAGACCCATTTCAGTCTGGTTTCAGGCCCAGTTTTAGAACAAAAATAGCCCTGGTCACCATGACTGATGACTTTTATCAGGATAGGCAGGGGAAGTATGACTGTTGGTTCTTCTTCATCTCTCAGTGGCTTATGGGGTATGATAAATTGGATGCACTGTATGTGAAGGTGTGGTTATACAGGAAAGTTCAGGGTCATTATCAGATAGTAGCAAAGGGTAAAAGGACCCCTGACTCTGGGGTTGCGGCACTCATCTTGCTTTATTGGCCAAGGGATCCGGCATACAGCTTCCGGGTCATGTGGCCAGCATGACTAAGTCGCTTCTGGCGAACCAGAGCAGCGCACGGAAACGCCATTTACCTTCCTGCCAGAGCGATACCTATTTATCTACTTGCACTTTGACGTGCTTTTGAACTGCTAGGTTGGCAGGAGCAGGGACTGAGCAATGGGAGCTCACTCCGCTGCAGGGATTCAAACCGCCAACCTTCCTATCAGCAAGCCCTAGGCTCAGTGGTTTAGACCACAGCGCCACCCATGTCACCAGAAAGTAGTACTAGGAGACAAATGTACTATGTGGCTTTGAGCTGGTGGGTCCCAGAAGGGTCCATTTTGTCTCCTATGCTTTTCAACTTCTATGCGAAGCAATTGCAAGCTTACTTTTAAATCCTTTATTAGGCATAGCACACCACACAGTAACAAACAAACATCATATACAGACTGTATAAAATACGGGCTCAGCGAACACAATTTATCCCAGTCCTATTCTTAACTCCAAGAAATAAATCGATGTACATAGATAATATAATACAACAACACAGCAACATCACCTACCATTAAAAACCACTAAGTCTCTTTATCATGGCCCATTCTTTCTTCATGGACAGCACTTAAAAATTCAGCCACTATTATAGTGGTTTGATCATCGCTGTCCGCCAGCAGGTCCTGAACAGTTGGTTGAGTAAAAATCTGTCTATTAACTTTTAGGGCCTCAAATAATTGTTTTCTGGCATAACTACCAAAATCACAGGAAAAGAATATATGCTCTAGAGTATCGCAAGCTGTCACCTGTGGTTTGGAGCCCAGTGTTATTGGTATGCTGATGATGCACAGCTCTAGCTGTCCGTTCCATCTGAATCAGGAAAGACTCTGGAGATGTTGGACTGCTAGAAGCAGTGGTGGGCTGAATAAAGTGAACCCTGACAGCAAACATATTCTCTGGGTGGGCTGTTCCTGTGTCTAGAATTAGGTGGCAGGTGCTCTGTATGGGGAGTTGGCATAAGGCACCAGGCCCATTGGCAGACCAACTCTGCATTACAAAAGTGTCTGCAAATGTGACATGAAGGCTGGCAGCAACATCAGTCCCGCCATGTGGGAATCCCTTGCAGATCAGCCGCAGTGCCTGGAGACAGACAGTCAGGCTGTTTATCCATAGCAGCGACCAGAGAAGAATGACCACTGGGAAGAGTGCAGAAAGTAGAAATGTCCTGGTGCATCTGCAGCTGCACAACCAGAAGCCTTCATCTGCCCCAGCTGCAACAAAACATGCCTCTCCCGTATCGTTCTCTACAGCCATAGCAGGTGCTGTAACCTTCCAACAGTTTGATTTCACCCCCAAAGGCACACTCCTCCATTATCTCCAGAGAAAGATGGATGCCTTCTATCTATCTATCTATCTATCTATCTATCTATCTATCTATCTCTATACAGTGGTAAAGGTAAAGGTACCCCTAACCATTAGGGTCCAGTCACGGACGACTTTGGGGTTGCACATTCATCTTGCTCTATAGGCCGAGGGAGCCGGCGTTTGTCCACAGACAGCTTCCAGGTCATGTGGCCAGCATGACTAAGCCGCTTCTGGTGAACCAGAGCAGTGCACAGAAACACTGTTTACCTTCCCGCCAGAGCGGTACCTATTTATCTACTTGCACTTTGACGTGCTTTCGAACTGCTAGGTTGGCAGGAGCTGGGACTGAACAATGGGAGCTCACCCCGTCATGGGGATTTGAACCACCGGCCTTCTAATCGGCAAGCCCTAGGCTCTGTGGTTTACACCACAGTGCCACCCGCGTCCCTATACAGTGGTACCTCGGGTTAATAACTTAATTCATTCTGGAGGTCCGTTCTTAACCTGAAACCATTCTTAACCTGAGGTACCACTTTAGCTAATGGGGGCCTCCTACCGTGCTGCCACCGTGCGATTTCTGTTCTCATCCTGAAGCAAAGTTCTTAACCCAAGGTACTATTTCTGGGTTAGCGGAGTCTGTAAACTGAAGTGTCTGTAGCCTGAAGCAACTGTAACCTATATCTTCTGCATAATGCCCCATTTTTTTCATTTGTTTAAATCACCTTTTCACTGCTCATGGGTTCATTCATCTTCTCCAGCAACTGATAAAACTACTTTCCCTTCCATCTTATTTTTAAGTGCAAACCTAAAGTACTAAATATTTTATTTTGTTTTGTAATTAGTTTCATATATATATATATATATCTACATCTATGAATAGAAATGGAAATATCAGGCTTCTTTCCCTGCAGCAATCCCATGTCCATTAAATACACAGCCCCCTGCTCTCCTTCATTATGCTTACATAGTTATTCATGGAGGCAGGATAGAAGGTATAGCCAAATAACAGTGGGTGGAATGTCATTCCCGTCATTTTTCAACAAAAACTGTCTGTGTATATTTGTTTCTCAGATTGAAGGCAGCACAAGACCTGTTAAAATTTCTCCAAATCAGCTGTTTCACGGGGGGGGGGGGAATTGCAGGCTTGGATTCATGAAATGTTCTGGATGTATCAGTAACAGAGTTGGAATATATAGGATTAATAAATCAAATGCACACCAAGATTGGGTTGTGCATGGGTCTCATAGGACTGATGACTCAGTATCTTAACTATTTTTAGCACCATTTATTTGGCAGTTAATTGTCATTTCTGGAACACGGTCTGCAAGTATTTTCATGTTTTGCTTACAAAAAATATTCAGCAGGTAGTTCATCCCAATGCTGTGCAAGGATTGCATGCCATGGGCTAAACTACTCTACATGCAGTGCACAAGTTTGCTGCAGAGGATACACTCCAATAAGGTGCTGGGTGTTTCCTACATGAAATTAGGCATGTGATGACTAGAGGCTTGATGAATCTTCTCTGTACAGGTGTCCTGGCTCCAGAATGTGTACCTTAGGGCCAGGTACCTGATGCATATATTTTTATATTTGAAAAGGAAGGCTAGTGCGGCTCTACACCTCCCCAGCTTTCTGAGTTCCTGTTCATTTTGAAGCCATTTCCCATACAAAATAGCACATTTTCCCAGACTGCGATCTCTTGCGGTGCTCCAAAACATGCATTTTAGGGTGCCTTACCCCCCAAAAGCACTTGGGGGGCGGGAACTACAGCATGAAATCACGCAAGATCACAGTAACCAAAATGGCTGGCATGCTCTTTCGATGCAAAATGGGGTCTCCCAGTTTTTACAGGACACTTGTGGGAAATTCCATAGTTTATGCACTGTATGAAGAAGTACTATCTCATAAGGCAATGAAAAGCCATCTCCCTGACTTGGCTGTGAATGACTTTCTCCAAAATTCTCACAGCCAGGTATGTGTTTATAATTATATAAACACTGCTGATTTCAACGGACTGGGCTATATTTAACAAATTACAAAACGATACAGATATATTTATACACCAGCCCACAGGAAATTCTCTCTTGATATATTGTGGCCTGGTTCATACACCTGGTAGGTCCCAGACAATCATTCATGGAATAGCTTGTGGCTGTTGATAAGACTGCAGCCCAGTGTGTATCATAGGTGCCAACTCTATGAACTGCTTTGGATTCTACATTTTATCGTTGTTTGGTGTACAAGTTGTCATGTGACCTCAGTGCTTCTGGATAGGGAAGCTTGTAAATCTAATTGATAATTCATTAGATCATCAACTGCTGGGTTAAATGGGCTCATAAAGACCACTCAAGTTTTGTTTTTTTTAGTCTGCATAAATAGGCTACTTAAAAAACAACCTTGAATATTCGACTTATTTGCTAGTCTTGCTTGGAACCAATTATGCACTGTGGATCTTCCTTTCTTTCAGAAATGAGAAAGCAACTGTTACAAACATGTCACACGACTAGCGCTGTCTAGAGATTCAAAACTGTAGTGATGAACTGATTCACCCTAGAGATTACAGGCTCTGCTAACAGGGTTGGAATGTTTTTCTTCCATGAGCCACTGCGAGCAGGAGACACTAAAAAGAAGTGTTTGGGCAGGGGTATAAAATGTGGACAGGGGGGAATGGCTCTACTGCCACATCAGGTATATGTCGAACTCTTACTAAAAGTATTCTTTATTGCCTGCCCCACACATTGTGTGTTTTCTAGGCCTGTCATGATTTAGAAAGCTCCTGCAGGGCTCCTGTACTTCCCAAGAGGTTGTGCAATAGAGTGCGTTGTCCAAAATAATTATCTGTAACCACCATTTTACCTGAGGCCGTATGTCATTCTCTGCTCACTAGGTACTTGGAGACTGTGTCTAATTTGGACCTGAAGGCAGGCGAACGTGAATAATACTTACAGAGATAAAACAGGATGAAAGCCACCGTGGAACTAATTTATTAGTTTTAAAGGACATCAGCCAAAGAAACTGTAGTAAGTCCTTTGTTATTTATTCCAAGGACTTTAATGTTTCCCTGTGTTGGATTTCTTAGCTTTTTTGTTTTTGTTTCTTTTAACAGGGAATTATGAATATATTTAGTAGCTTTAAAATATTCCTGCAAAAAGTTAGACCTTACAATGTACTTGTGTTAAATTCTACATTATCGTGTGATCTTGCATCAGTGGAATTGGCTACAAGTGGATTTACAACAGAAAAAAAGTTGTGGGATCAGGAGATGAACCAAACCCTACAGGCAACCTATTTCAATGCCTTGTCTAGTACCTCTAAAAAGCAGACATGCCTCCCTCGTGCATAATAAGAAATGAGAAATTAACCACTAAAATAAATTCCATTAGTCACGCTGTCCCCTTATCATTAAACCATGTAATCACATAATGTTAACTTACACCCTAAATCATTCTGAAAATATTTGTTACAATTCAGGAGTGTCTAAAAGGGACGTGGGTGGCGCTGTGGGTTAAACCACAGAGCCTAGGACTTGCCGATCAGAAAGTCGGCGGTTTGAATCCCCGCGGCGGGGTGAGCTCCCGTTGCTTGGTCCCTGCTCCTGCCAACCAAGCAGTTCGAAAGCACGTCAAAGTGCAAGTAGATAAATAGGTACCGCTCCGGCGGGAAGGTAAACGGCATTTCCGTGCGCTGCTCTGGTTCGCCAGAAGCGGCTTAGTCATGCTGGCCACATGACCCAGAAGCTGTACACCAGCTCCCTCGGCCAATAAAGCGAGATGAGCGCCGCAACCCCAGAGTCAGACACGACTGGACCTAATGGTCAGAGGTCCCTTTACCTTTACCTTTTAATGGGTGCAGGTGCTCTGATGGGCACAACTAAGGATACAGAATCCAAGGCCACTTCAGTCACTTTAATGGAGGAAAGTAGATATTTTGAATAAAATAGGCCAGATCGCACACAAGAGAGGTGGAAACAGTGGGGAAACGTCACGATGAAAACAGCTTTTTGGATCAAGACAAATGCCACTGAAATGTGAAACAGAGTGAAATCAGCAGAACCACTTCAAAATAATGTGTTTAGGTTAAGGATCCGTTGCTCCACATGATGTTGGCTACACCACTTAGCCATTCAGGCATACTGTGGTCTTCAAGAGATTCTTTGCGTGCCTTTTGTTTGAAAATTACCTTGAAAATTATGTTTGTCTCTCAAAAGCCACTGCAAAAATATGACAGCTACAAGAACAATAATTGCAAGGTGCAGTCATTGCTTTAGGAGTCATTACCTTTCAAGTAAATGTTGGCTCACATCCTTTAATACACATAGTGAAGCCTTAAACTCTCATGGGTCATCCTTATGGCTCTCCACTGAGGCAGCAGCCTATTGGATTAGGAACTCTTAGCAGTCCTTCATAAGCAGCTGCTGCCTGCCCCCATGGAAGGGTCAATTAATGCTGCACAAGCACACTTATGCCATTGATTCAGGGACAGGGAGAGAGAGAGAGAGAGAGAGAGAGAGAGGGAGCGAGAGAGAGAGCAGGGTCTTGGATTATGGCAGCAAAGAAGGTTACTCGCAAACCAAGCAAACTTGGCAGGAACATGATGAGAATTTAGCTGCAAAACCGCCAGCAACTGCAGCTGTAAATAAAACTGATTCACTGGCTGGAGCTGTGAACCTGTTGCGGTGGCCAGCACAATTCTGATATCCCAATAACAAAAGTCCAATCAATGTAACTATAAATAAAGATATCTGTCAGGCCCTGGATGAACATGGATGGTCACTTGCAAAGCATTAATTTAAAACACAGTATATATATCATTGTGGGAAGAGCCAGTTCTCTGCTGTGTCCACCCATTGAGGGAAATTCTAACACCTCTCAGATGGATACAGATATGTGGTAAATTTCTCCTCGCTGCCTGGGTTCTCTGCGTGGTTTGCCTTCTGCGGTAAAGTACTTCTTGGCAAATTGTTAGTATTCACCCTTAATTAATCTGTATTTTCTCTTGGTAATAGTAATTCCTAATACTTACTACTCACATATTGCTTTTAATAGGCACTCTACACTTTTCACTCACATAAGTTTAGTCCCAGAAACATCCCTGTATTTATTTATTTGCATAATTCATATTTCACATTCTCATGACAGATTTATGTCCCCAGGGCACTTAGAAGATAGTGAGAAACCAAAAGTAAAAAATTATAAGCTACTACTGATAGAATGAAAATGCAAACTATTGCAGCAAATTAAAACAGCTGCTCTGCGTTAAATAATGCTTACATTAACAATTAATAAAAGCCTGGGAGTTTGTTTTTTAAAAATGTTTCTCTGGTGCCTAAATGACAGTAATGAGGTCTCTAGGTGAGTCTTGGGGTGTGTGTGTGTGTGTGAGAGAGAGTATTTTCCAAAAGTGAGGAGCCACCACAGGAAAGGCTCTCTCCAGGCATCACCTACTGAACTTAAGAGGGAGGGAGCACCCAGAGGAAGGAGGCCTCAGATGCCTCTCTTAATGGACAGGCAGATTGATAGGGAAGAAGGCAGTCCAGCAACTATATGGTACGGTAGACTATATGGTACGGTAGACATTATTATTATCACCTCCATATTACAGATGAGAGCAGCAAGACAGAGGTTGCCAGTGAGGTCATGCCTAAAGCCAGGTCTGAACAAGTGCCTATTCTTAATCTAACTGCACACATTAGCTTGCAGTTTTCTCCAATTTATTTACTGAGCTACATAGACCAATGGACTCAGTATAAGGCGGCATTGTATGCTCCTTCCTACGTAATTTTAAAGCTAAAAATAGGTATATATAAACAAGTTGCTATACATCAGTAGAAAAATGCTATGAAAGCCATTCAGTGAAATTTGTGGCTTCTGGGCAGCAAACCAACATACTAATGCCTACAGGGCTTCACAATTCTTGGATGAATTTTATGGGTCACCAGACAGGATAAGGCTTTCTGAACTAAGTTCTTAACAACCGTATTTCATTTTACCTCATTATTTTGTCTTGCATATTATCATGTGCTATCTAAGCCATCCTCCCCACCCAAAATCCTAAAATATCTCATGCCAGCAACTTAGAAGTATGTAGAATTTGTACAGATTAGAAAAAGGCTCACCCACAGAAAGGTATACTGAGAAGTTGGAAATAGTTGTTGGGGTTGTAATGTACACTGAGGTTCACTAGGGTGCCATCTGTGTGAGCTGGGGATGTCATGTGAATGGAATGAAATTATTTACTGTGTTTTGAAATACTTTTCTTACAGATAATTTCGACGACTTTCCTACCTGAGGAGAAGTGTGTCTTCACTATGTGGTTGTTGGGGTTTTTTTCTTTCCTGTGGTGTGTGTGTGTGTGTGTGTGTGTGTGTATGTATAGCAGCTGGTGTGTAACTAGCTGGTTCTCTGTTAAGTAGCATTCCCATCCTTCATTTTCATTCTCTTGCTCGAAGTCACAACCTCCCAAAGCTGCTTTTTCTTTAAAAACACAACATAAATCTGCACACCACGCATAGTTTGTCTTTGACATATACACACAGTAAATATGTACCCCCCAAAAAAATCCTCACTCATTGTTTCCCACACAGAAACTGTAATATTATTTATTAGGTGATTTAAATAAGAGGTCAATTAATGAGCTTACTGAATGCCCTATTTATATACTATAGTCTCCAAGTTGTGAATTATAAAGTTAGAAGATGCAACAAATCTAAAAACTGGTTTGAAGTCCATATTGTGCTATCGGTTTCATAATTTTTGATCTGGCAATATATTGCAAATCTTGATATGTATGTGTGTGTCCTATGCAACAATCATGATGCAGGAAAAACTGGGAAGCCGGCCAATGCCTCTACATAGCTCCATCCTTATTTCTGACATTGTGATATATCAGTACAATGTTTACCTGTTGATAAATTGTGATGTTGAAAACTGGATATTGCCCAGCCCATAACTCAGTATCTATGCCAACCAGGAATCACCAACGTGGCACCTACGGGTGCACATACACCCATGAAGGCCTTCTCTTGCACCCTCATGAATTAGATTTGGGGGAAAAACATTCTGTTGTAGCCAATAGATGGTGGTGCATGTGGTGCTTAACTGCGATGTGTGTGCAGTTTGTCTGGTTTACAAAACTGCTCATGAGACCAAAAAGGTTACCAAGCCCAGATGTACACTGTCTTGTTCATTCGTGGATTCTAAGCATTCCTAAATTATGATTGCTACAAGAATGAGGTACAAGCCAAAACAGAGAAGAGTAAATATGTCAGTTGTTTTCATTCAAACGGACACAACCCCAAGTACATATAGCTGTAGGGAAATGGGTTTTACAAGGAAGAGTAAAAGCATAAATGACAGAACACATGGGATAGCATACAGATACTCACCAAGAGGTTGCCCCGCAATGATCCTGGCATTCTCTCCTGCCACAGCAGCCCTCGCGTGCCTCTCACTCATATACTGTACAAACGCATAACCTTTGTGCACCGAGCAGCCAACTATTTTTCCATACTTTGCAAAGATCGCCTCTATGTCACCCTTTTTGACAATGGCTGTGTTGAGGTTGCCAATGAAGACTCTCGAGTTGATGGATTTGGGGTCATTCTTATTGGTGACATTACTGGTCTGTGTTTTGCCGGTCATGGTTGGCTCGCTTGACTTCAGCCCTTAAAACAAGACAACAAAGATTTATGTTTAGTTGTATATATTCATCTCTAGTTAGGTATGAAGTTTAACACCAACACCAACAACTAATTGAATCTAAATCATGAGGAGTATATAGTTAATGATGACTGACCATCAGAAAGGTCCAGTGAACGTTATCAGAAACCAATTTTAAACCCTACATTTTTATGAATTTAAAATACACTCATAAATCAAGCCTTCTCAAATTTAGCACTTTGCCAATATTCACTGATTTAAACATGAAAGTTCAGTCAGTGGCTTATTAAATAACCATCTTTCCATCATGCAAAATAAGAGACTAAAACACTACTGTGTGTCAATGAAATGAACAGCCAAGGCCAGCTGAGGAGCAAATCGTCACAATGATGAAAAGCTTGCCTGCTTTTATCTGGCTCCTGTCAATCAGCGTACATTATCTTTTCCAGCCTGTTAAATACTGTAGATCATTGCAAGAAGTCCAGAGCAGGTTGAATACAGCTGCTTAGTGCAATCAATATATTTCCATTAGGAGGTAGAAATTTCTTCTTTGCAGAATAGCTCAGAAGGGTAAACTTTTGTTGTTGTTTTGTTGTTAGTAGTAGTAGTAGTAGTAGTAGAAACAGGACCAGCAGCTAATTCTCATCAATGACACAGTAGGTTCTTATCTATCCATCAAGAAAATCCATCAAGGCTGCCTCTGTGATTATGTGGTTAGATCCTGGAGATAGAATGGTTTGAATTCTTTGTGTTGCGACAATGAAACTGATGAGATTCAGTAGTTGGCATGAATAATTGGAACTGAGGTTTACGCTGTTTTTCTTATGAAACTGCCTAAGACATCCCATACTATACTGCAATTAATAAAACAATCACTATTTCATAAACTACTATCCTAACATTCCTGAGCATATCCTATCATTTGGAAACTGCTTCTGAATATGTTGGTATGTTGGATATGAGCTCATAAGTATTTACAGTAGGACACACACTTCTCTCATGTCTGCAATTGTCATAGCAATTGTCCACAAAACACTAGGGAATATTAAGCTATTTCTTCTCCTTTTTAAACCTCTCCCCCCCCCAAAAAAACCCCTGCAACAATTGTCTTTGCAGGAAAACCAATGAAGCTGTCCTCCTGAAACTTGGCAGGATTCATCACTCAGAAGGGGCAACATTGCCTGCAAATTCCATCTAATTCTGCCCCCAAATCAAAACATGACATATCGTTCCTTTAAAAACAAACAAACAAACAAAAACTTTAAATGGTCCTAAAGCTATTCATTTGTAATCTGGCAGGTTTTATCCATTTTGGAGGGGCTATTATGCCTGAAAATTTCATTCACGTCTTTGGCATATATATAATTTTTAGAAGTTAGAATAAAAAGTTTTAGATTACAGTATTCTGTGATTTCTATTAAGTTCCCCTCAATACTACAGAGCAATCTCATGCATGTCTACTCAGAAGTCAGCCCTGTTGTCTTCAATATGGCTTATTACCAGATTAGTATGTATATAATTATCACTTAAAAGATTTTTATAAGTCCTATGTGTATCCAAATATACATGCAAGTAAGTCGCTTGCCATTTACGCTAGTGGCCAAAATTGTGGAAACCTTTTGGAGAAAGTGTATTTCTGAGGTTTGATGGCTCTTAACACCACTTTCTTTTGAAGTAATACCATAAAATGATATATCAACAGAATGATAATTTAATGAAGAATGTAGTGCAACAAAGCTTGTTGAATTATCTGTATTTTATCAAAAGTTATAGCCAAATAACTAGAAAAAGGTGTGTTTAGAGAGCCAATCAGGTATCTGGTTTTAGCAACGATGGCTCAAAACACCACTTTTTTGAGTAATACCATAAAATTATATAACAATGGAAATATAATTTAATGAAGAATGCAATGCAATAGCTTATATGAAGGATTACTTATTACAACAGCAGACATAAAGAAGAAATGTGAAACACACTGGAAAAATGAGCTATACAAAAATTCTCACCATATCAGTTAATACTTATTTGGGTAACCTTTAGCCTTCCCATGGAGTGAACCAAGTTTTCTAGTTCTGCAGCTGTAATAATGTGAAACCAAGATTGAATTATTGCCTCTATTAATTGAGTTTTATTGCTGGGTTGCTTCTGACTAACAAGTTTCTTTAGTTGGCTCTATAGATTTTCGATTGGGTTAAGGTCTGGGCTATGTATTTTTGGGCATTTACATTCCCATTAATAACACAAATTCTGCCCACACCTTTTGCTGTCATACAACCCTAGATCATAACACTAACTGGGTGTTTCACAGTAGGTGTAAGACAAGTAGGATGTAAATCTTCTCCGATTCTTCTCCTTATGTATTTCATGCCATCACTACCAAGCAAGGAGACTTGGGTCTCATCACTCCAAATAACACTGTCCCATTGTTCCACTGCCCAGTTAACATAGGTTTTAGCCCAGTTTAATCTTTTCAACCTTTGTTTGAGATATAACAATGGCTTTTTCCTTGGAATTCTAGCATTTAGACTATATTCCTGTAGTCTGTGCCAAACAGTCCTTGCACTCAGCTTCACATTACATTGTGCCATGTCATCTTGTATACACCCAGATGATTTTCTTCTGTCATGTAGGCATAGTCTCTCAATTCTTTTATCGTCACTTGCTGTTGTGCACCTTTTCCTGCCTTTACCAGTCTGATTTTGTAGTGACTAGGTCTCCTTATACCTCTTCAAAAATTTAGAAATGCCATCTTTGGTTAAGTTTCCACCAATTTTTTTCTTTTAATTTCTTCATAACTTTAGCCTTATTCACTTAATAGTACTATTTTACATCACTTTCTGGGTGACCAGTCAACTCTATGCACCATTTCTTTAATTTTATTATGTTTTACAAGCTCACTAAATGAAGAACAAAAAAGCAACCTAACAAACTTGATAGCAATCACATAACATGCTGGCAAATGTCCTCTTTATTTATGTTGTAATAAATCATCCTTCATAAAAGTTATTGCATTACATTCTTTATTAAATTATCTTTCCATTGATGTATGATTTATGATATTACTCCAAAAAAAAGTGCTATTATGAGCCATCATTGCCAAAACAAGATGACACCTGATTGGCTCTCTAAACACTCCTTTTTCTGGTTATTTGACTGTAGCTTTTGATAGAATACAGATAACTGAACAAACTTTGTGCATTACATACTTCATTAAATTATCTTTCCACTGATATATAATTTTATGGTATTACTCTGAAAAAAGGTGGTGTTATGAGCCATCAAACTTCGGAAATACACTTTCTCCAAAATGTTTCCACAATTTTGGGCACTAGTGTAACTAGAGGTCAACAATGTATTTTCAAGCCAGTCATGTGGCTTTTCTATTGGCCAGAAACTACTGCATTCACACACACATTTCCTAATACTGAAAAATGACTTTGGTGAGGAAGAGGCCATTTATATAGCAATTAAGTACATAACATTTATTACAGGGTACAGTTAAGAGTTATGTTACTGCTCTGCTCTGCTTCATTGTGGTCATATTTTAGATCTTATCACCACCATTGCTCAACTGAGGCTTAAATCTGAGATGCTATTCTACACACTCATTTCTCAAGTGGCAAAATGTACAAGTGGTGAAATCCCAAGGGATTATTTTCGGTAGTAATTCTTTGGCCCATTTCACACAAACAACCAAGTAGCATGGAGGTCTCTGGAAATGAAACAATTTTGGCTCTGAATTACTACACCACAAAGATGTTGATACTTGAGAAGCTCTACTTCTCCTTTTCACCTGCAGGTATGGATGTGCTGGACCATTGTCTTGCCTCAGTAATGGACTGGATGAGAGCCAACAAGCTAAAGCTCAACCCAGTTAGGACTGAGGCACTGTTAGTGAGTGGTTCCCTAGACTGGATGGATAGCTCTTGATGGGGTTACACTTCCTCCAAAGAAGCAGGTATGCAGCCAGGGGGTACTTCTGCTATCCACTGCTATCACTTGAGGCTCAGGTGGCCTTGGTGGTGTGGAGTGCCTTCCATCAACTTCTGCTGGTGACCCAATTGCACCCCTTATCCCCAATCCAATCCTTAAATTACAAGGGACTTGCATATATTATTATTATTACTACTACTACTACTACTACTAATAATAATAATAATAATTTATTATTTGTACCCCGCCCATCTGGCTGGGTTTCCCCAGCCACTCTGGGCGGCTTCCAACACGGATTAAAAATACATCAAAATGTCACACATTAAATACTTCCCTGAACAGGGCTGCCTTCAGATGTCTTCTAAATGTCAGGTAGTTGTTTATCTCTTTGACATCTGATGGGGGGGGGGGCGTTCTAATGTGGCCTAGTGGCCAAGTGATCAGAAAGCGGACTTTTCTATAGATCAGTATCAAAAGACATTGTGCTGAGCCACCTGCAACACAGCAGCTTCATGGAAAATGGAATACAGGAAGTTCAAATGCATGTATCAGGCAACTGCACTCCAGGATTTAATAGAGGAATCTTTCCCATCACCTGTAGCCTGATTCTTTTAACTGAAGATACAAAGAATTGAACCTATATCTTCTGCATGCAAAGCGTATGGTCCGCAGCTAAGTGTCTCAGAAATATGCAGAGACTGAGCAAAATGGCAATGGTGAAGTAGGGTGGCTGGCTGCTGAATGGTACTAGGACTGGGGAATAATGCATCTATATACTACTCTGAGACTTTTAAACTAATCATTAAGCTGGCTATAACAGATTGTTAGTATTTTTTTCCTCTACAGCTTATTTGGGTTTACACAGTTGTTAAAAAAACCAATTAAATTTGTACAGTGCCATCTATGAGCAGGATATCTTCTACAGCACAATAAGAAACATGTGCATGAAAGAGGAAACTTAATGCCTGAAGCAGTAGCACACGAGCTATTATGGGCACATTTCCATGGATCTGTTTTGCCTCTTCCTGCTATACAGTGGTACCTCGGGTTAAGAACTTAATTCGTTCTGGAG